TGCGCTTCGGATGCATCGAAACGCGTATTTTCCCGTTTTGGGCGGACGGCGCTGAAATTTTGCTGAAACGATCTTCTTGCTGATATTGACAATACCGGCGACGGTGGCAGCGGCGGCAAAATGCGACACACGGGGGTAGTAGTTTTCGCCGGTATTCAAGCTAAATACATTAGAAAGCTCATTTAAATACGACACAATGGCGATGCCGGGCGCCGTGTCGTCCGGATAAATTCGTTGGCCGGAGTAATAATGTCCGTCGCGTTTTCTGACGCGTCATCTTCGGCGACGAGCGACGCGAATCGATACCGGCCGTATCGAGTCCCACGGAACTTCGTCGTTGTGCGAGATCGCGAGAGCCCACCGGCGCCCGATTTTAATTACTTTAACGACGTCTGTCTGTCCCCGTGCGACGTGCGCGCGTTATCCCGGCGAGCGCGCAAGCTCGACGTCAATACTTTCCCGTGGCAAACGCCGCGGAAGACAATCGCGTTGACACCCCGTGATGGATGTCCCGCCTGCTCAAAATACCCCCTCAGTTTTCCCGCCAATAAAGCCCATTGTAAATGCGAACTATTCGAAATATTAGATCGGCACAGCGATTACGGCCCGTTCAGTCATCGCCGTTGACGCACCGTAATCCTTTCCCACCTCTCCGCGTTCTCCCCGCACCTTTCGCGCTTCGTTTTCCGCGCTTTGTTCCGTTCCCTCTTTCTTTCTCTCTCTATCTCACCGCGCCTCGGAAAATCATCGTCATCTCCTGTTCGCGTTAGACAAACTGCAAAGTATGTATACAGGGAAAGAAATCGCCGAGCTTCGTATTATCGAAAGACGCGATCGATGCCGAGAAGGCGCGGACTTTCGATCACTCCTGTGTATTTACCACGATTATTCGCACCTCCTAGATTTTCCGAGAAGAACGAGAGACCCTGCGGTCGCAGCCTGCGTTAATTACTAACTGCATATTTTACGCACCGTTGCGCGATAATGCGGTCGTTCTCAAGAAACTACGCGCGTATCCCCGAGTTTTTCGCGTGATTATTTGCGGTTGAACAGCGCGATGGAATTTCCCGAATCCGCGCGCTCGCGATTATCCCGGCAAGACGGAGAGAGCGGAAAAGCGCCACCGGCCCTCCGCGGCTTATTTATTAACCCGAAAGTCTAACGAGACGTTGAAACGGCGGCGCTGACGTTATACCTATTATTACGTACGGACCGCGAAGGCTACTCTTCTATCGGGAGCGGGCGATCTGACATACCGCGCGCTCAATGAACAGCTTACATTGATATATTTCAGCGAGCGACGCACGAGCGGAGAAAATCGCGTGCGCCACCGTATAGCAGCGGCGATATTACGACACGACCGTCACCCGTGTGTTGCACGCCAGACATTATAATAATATCCTTTGCGGTATCGCGCGAGAGGGGCTCGCCGACGGTCCGTTCGCGAATTAGAAGGGAACGACGACTACAATGACGACGAGGACGATATCTTTCGTCCCGAGCCGTTTTCGTATCTCCCGACTGACACGTTACCTCGCTACGACGCGGAGATTGTTTGGATTGTTCTTAATCTCCATTGTAATAGCACGCGCTCCGCTCGCTGGGAACTGGCCGGCCAATTTTGAATTTGGATTGTCGGCCGATGATGGATCGGCCTTTTGTACGCGGCGCTGATGATACCTCGCAGATGTATCCACCGCACCCTTTTCGGACGAAACCACTTGCCGGTGATTATCGATTAAGCGCATGCACACACCGCCTCTCGCCGGTCTTCCCGCCCCCCGTCCGCCACCCTCTTTCTTGCTCCTCACTTTTTTCCCTTTTCGAATACGCTTTGATACTTTTTTTTATCTCGAGCACCCGACATCTGGCTCGGACGACTTTCGGGCCCGTTACGAATTCACGAGCTCTTTCGTCGCTCGATACAGTGGCGAAGTCAATCGATTAGTGATTAATTTAAGTGAGAATTCCGCGCTCGGGACTCTTTGCCAATTTTGCGTACGGAGATATCGCGTGCTCGTTCGCGCGTTCCACGCGATTTTCCAGATCGGACGAGTCGTTTTCGAAACAAATGTTTTCCGACAATCGATGGGCTATCGTATTTAGGATTATCGTCGTGCTTTCAACATCACACGATGTTGTTAAGTTTTCCGCGAATACATCTGTCCATCGAGAATCGAGATAAAAATGAACAGCGTAAAACGCATGGAACGCAATGAATTAGCAAAAACCACGAGCAGATGTCCCCACTTTAGATAATCCCGGCCTTTTACACTAATCTAATCAGTATCATTAAATAAAGGATACATTTAATAATCAATATAGACAGCATGTTGCGTAAATGAAATCCATGCTATCTCGACAAGTGTAACGTCAGAGTTTTATCGCCACTGGATGAGAAGCATCCGTCGCTTTGTCAACCGAATCAAACGTTTTACAACTAACATAGATAAGGTAAGTCTTGAAAAAAATGTAGATACGATAACATATGATTTTCTTACGTTTCGTAAAGAAACTTCATTCGAGACTTATAATTACAATAGAAGTGCAACGGACATGTAATTATAACTTAAAAGAGACCTCTCCTAACACATACGTACGTAACAAGCGCAGATTTCGTGCGCACATTTTAATATATTTTTTCTCCCATGTATATATATATATATATATATATATAAATATCTGATACTGTGTATACATAATAGTGTACTATATACTTTATATTTATAAAGATCAAAGCAAGCAACGGCGCGCTACTTCCATACGTCGCGTTTGTTTCCACGCGATCGTGATTGCCCGCCGAGAGTGAAAAAGAAAGCAAACGAGCGCCGTGCGCTTATTTGAGACGTGCAAAAATCGAATGGCCGATTCTTTTCGGAATCGGTAATGCCGCCCGCGCCGTACGTACATTTGCCGCCCATGAAGATCACGTGCGCGTTCGGCGCGACCACAGGCACAGGCCGCGGTGAAGTAGCTGCGCAATTTCGCAAAATGCCGTAACCGTAATTACTGTTATTGCAGGATATTTAATACACGGGGCACGTTTTTACTCGCGGTCCACCCCTCTGAATCAACCGCGGCCACGAGGAGCAATACGTGCCTTGATATGAGCTCTCTCTCTCTCTCTCTCTCTCTCTTCCTCCGTTGCGTGGCCGCCGGCTACGAAGGACGAAACACGCCCGAGGTTCTTTCGCCTTTATAAATAATAAATTCGCGTAGGAAACAGCGAAAAAGTTGACGGCCGAGAAACATACGAAGGGAAAGGGAAGATGAAATTGAGCGTGCAGTTAGGGAGGCGATAGGGGGGGGGAGAGGGCAAATATACGCGATGAGAGGAAGAATCTGACGGCCGATATATTTATTAGTGCTTTAACTTCACCGCAAACAGCATTTCTCCTCGCGTTGAAAAGCGCGCTTTAACGATGCTACGGGGAAACGCGTGGAAAGGAGTTCGTTTCGCAGTTCGGTTCGCTCGAGTTCTTTGTAAAAATAAGAAGGTATAAACGTACGTAATTTTCTAAAACGACTTGAGCGTATCTCGGCTAAGCTGCGCTTCGTGATTCTCACGATGGGAGAGGGATACGATCGAAACTCTGACCGGTGCTGCCATCTACCGGCGTCAGGAATCAAACAGCTAACGGTATCTCAAGCGCTTGAGATTTCAAGCTGCTCTGCTGTTTCCCGCCTATACGAACCGAAGGAGCTCGGGATGTGTCTCGCTCCCGATTTCGCCGGCTTATCAATAAACAATTAATAATGCATAAAAGTGACTCACCAGAACCGTTGTGCGACCTCTGGTATGCGGTACGAAGGATCGAACTCCTGTGCACACTGCACTACGTTACGAGTGCGTTCGGGGAACAAATAAGCTCTAAAACGTTATTTTATCTCTTATGTATGAAACAAGGATAGAATGATGCCTCAGCGTGTTCCCCGAAAGCATATTACACATACGATTGAACACGATTGAACACGCACGAATCGCGACGATCCGATGATCGCTCCCCGGACTTCTGAAAGATGTCTTTAAGACGTCTTATGTCTCGATTTTAGACACGTTTAGATCGGCACTTGATTCGACACTCACAGTACTCGTTCGGACGCGTTATGCGACGAGTAAACAACGCGAAAATCACACGATCACTTCACACCAATCACGGACGACGTGTCGTGACATGAGTTAAACAGCTTGTTCTAACGGATTTACGAGCGACACAAGTATCGACACATTGCGACTACATCCGCGGTCGGACACGCGAATTGAAGACATCCGACGATCACTCGTTACTTTCTTTAATACCCGCGGTATTTATCCGAACGTGTCGCGTACTTTTAACGGGTGAAGAACGCGAAAATCGTGAGATCACTTGCGGTCGTCCGCAAGGCCCAAGGCGCAGCGCAAAACTGAAAACGAAGGCTGCGCATGCGCTGCCGGTATGCATCTCTCGCTCGCAAAATTCACTCTAATCGAGAACAATCGGTATGATTATTGATGAAAGATGGCTGTAATTAACGCGACACGACGATTACTTGGCACTTTGTTCGGTTATTTTTTCGATACTTTGTCCGGATATTAGATAATTTTGCAATCGATTATAAATCACAATTCGTCGTCAAATTGTCGTTATTACTGAATCGCCGTGGTCGACTGTCGTCAATTTTATTAATTCACCAATCAATGTCGGTAATCAACGTATTTCCTACTCTTGATAATATAAAGTTCTTCAATATCCTACTGTCGATATTGAATTACTATTTTATACTGGCAAAAAATTTGCGACACTAAAAGTGCACTGTAAGTAACTACAATTAAAATGTTTTATTCGTCGTTTGACGAATGGCCTTTGTAATGGTTTGAACATTCGTAAGGACAGGATTGCATGTCGTTATATACTTTGGTCAAATCGGTTAATCCGGCTCCATAGCGGATGTTTACGTTTCCGATTTGACATTGACGCGTATATCGAGCAGTAAAAAGTGTTGCAAACAAGTGAGTAATTCATTCTCGAAAACCACTTGCTGGCATGTTGGTCATGACAAATTATACCATTGTATACGATTAGTCGTGTTATAATGATATTCAGGTTTCTTATGCGTACTTTTTCCACTAAAATTGTTGTTTTTTCCAATGACGAAAGGTTATTTATTATTGTTAAATAACCTATAATCCATCAATGCCTTATGTGTAACATGGTACTGTGCGTATTGACATTTGGATATTACTTGGAGATTATTCAGATATAAGACGAATAAGTAAACTTTGTTACCTTGGTTAAGGTCGTGCTTGTAATAATGGGTAATGCGGGAAGTAATCAACCTGTCAGCCATCATCATGGCACTACAGTGAACAGAGAGCATCGACACAGCAAGGATCATCCACCATCTTCTCCGGGAAAAGAAGGCCAAGTGTTCATTTTTGACAAGAAACCTAGCCAGAAACTTGTTTTTCAGTCTTCCCACGAGGAAGAAGAGCCATATTTTGCAAAGGTAATGGCAGAAGATATGTTAAAATGATACCTGCATATATATGTAAGTGCCCTATATCAGAATCTGTAAATACATAACAGACTGGCCAACAAGATGGAGAGGATTTTGGATCGCAACGACCAAGATCCAATACTGTTTCTGAAGGAACAAAAGTTGCAGACAACAAGGTGCTACCAACTGTTTTCAAGTGGGAAGGTGGTGGAAAGCAAGTGTACATTAGTGGCACATTCACTGGATGGAAGACATTGCCAATGGTGAAAAGCCATGGAGACTTTGTGACAATTATTGACTTGCCAGAAGGAGAGCATCAGTATAAATTCTTTGTCGATGGAGAATGGAGGCACGATCCTGGACTGGTAAGGATTAATTCTACAAGGTTTTACAGTAATTCTCTGCATAATATGTGTGCATATTGTATCTGCACATACATGTGTGTGCGTGTGTGTATGTCCTACATTTATACACAGCATATAAAGCATATATTTGTTGACGTGACACAGAAAATTGTGGACAATGGAATGGGTTCCAAAAACAACTTAGTGTCTGTAAGGAAATCCGACTTCGAAGTGTTTCAAGCTCTCGCAAAAGACAGCGAGGGTGTCACTAGTAGCGCTCAAACGGAATATGGACAAGAGATACCACCGCATAAACCCTGGGAGAAGGTACCTGGCCCGCCTATTTTGCCGCCGCACCTGCTGCAAGTTATCCTCAATAAGGATACGCCGCTGTCCGTAAGTTAAATACAAGGAAAGAAAAACAACAAAAGAATCACTTCAGCCTTTCTAAATTAACTTAAATATCGTTCTCTTACCACATATCTTATTTTAGTGCGAACCTACTCTCCTACCCGAGCCAAATCACGTCATGCTGAACCACCTTTATGCCTTAAGTATTAAAGACAGCGTGATGGTCCTGTCAGCAACGCATCGTTATCGTAAAAAATACGTCACCACTTTGCTCTACAAGCCGATCTAAGCGTTAAGTCATTCCCGTATACATATTCGTTGGTGCTGGTCGTTTACTGGTTATTACGGTATTAACGCCCGGGTGACGTGATGTTGTAGCTGGAAACTTTCCGAGTTTTCGAGGCAAGGTAGAAAATTAACATCTAGAGATGTCTGTTTTTTGTCGCTACGTTTATTATACCTCAGTCACATGTAAAATATTGTAATTACTATTTATTAAAGTCAGACATTTTATATTCGCCGTTCTTCCTACGATTGGCAAACTGATCGGTAGGGTGTCGTAAGTTACGCCTCGAAGCGCATTTAAAATTTCTTAAAACGACCCAACGGCTTGTGTACGCGACTCGACATTCGGGGAATCGTCGGTCAAATTTGATTATCGGCTACTTCCGATGTGTATGCGTAAGGTGAGCTCGATCTAGTTCGGAGAAAGTACAAGCCGCTCGCCGTCTGATCGACGTGCTCTCCCATGAGCACCGTTTGCGAATTGGTGCACTTGCCGCCTATGTACGAGTCCCAGCTGTCGCATTTAATAGCCGACAGCCCCGTCTTCGAGTTTATACTCTCTGTGAAGTATGCGTACGATCGTCCGTGGCTGCAGGCCTCTGAAATGTCAGTAGAGAAGTCGGAAACGACGTCTTGCGAGCTGAATGTCAGCCAACGAAAAATATCCCTTACCCATCACTTCGGGGACGCAGCAGCATCCGGGCTGAATCGCCGTGCCCGCGTTCGGATAGAAGTCGACTTTCCCCAGCGGCTGAAGGAAGCCCAACATACCCCCGCAGGAGTGTATAACGTCGACGAATAGCGCGTCAGTAGGATCCAGTCGGGTCTTCTCGGAGGCGAACATGTGGAAGCCCGGCAGCGCTGGATCCAAACCCGTCACTCGGCTCAGTTTCCCGGAAGTCGTCGCACTGCCGGCGTTCCCAGCTACGTGCGCCCCGAGGGAATGACCTTGCGCGCAGTCGAAGTGACGACAAGATGAAAACATCGACAATCGCACTTATACGAGAGCTCGCGCATCATACCGATAAAGTGAACGTCCTCCGTCTTCAAGCCGGTCTTGCTCACCAAGAAGTCGATGAAGTTAGCGGCGTCGGTCCCGACCCTCACGGTGTTGTGCATCGGGCCCAGATAAAAGGTGCTCGCAGCCAACGGTTCCCAGTCCACGATGATGATGTTGTAGTCGCCGTGAGTCAGAAAAGCTGCGCATTCCGAAAGACATGAATTATCCAAGCTACGCTTCTCGTCGATGCGCAAACCCTGGGTCTACCTGCATTGCTTTTTCCAGCAAGAGACACAAGTCTAGTTGTATCATCTATTATCCTTTTTCTTCACCAAAAGCGGAATAAGGATAAATGATGATATAACTAGACTTGTGTCTCTTGCTGGGAAACAACTGGCAGCTCTGACTTAACTGAGTTAATTCAAGAACCCGGGTAGCCAAAGCTGAGAACAAAAGCTGCCGTACCCTCTTTCAGCTTCCGGGGACCGGCGCTCATGGCGCTCGATTTCCAGCCGTGCGTTATGAATTTTGTCTTGCGCGATGGCTTGAAGTCGGAACTGGCGAGATTCGTGGTGTCATTCAGAGTCACTCGCGTGCCTTCTTTCGGGCCGGTTCTTGAAAAGAAATCACGGAAAGTTAGGTCGAGAGCGAACGACTGACGAACCGTTAAGCGTTATACGCGCGATTTGTGATCGGATACCGGGTGTAAATCATGTAGGCTATCTCCGGGCCGTTCAGCACGCCTCTCGTCTCGCTATCTTGGACCTTCAGTACCGCTACCTGAGGCTGCCCGTTACCGTCCGGCATGAATATCCAGTCTTCCCCGTAGCCGTCGTACCTCTGCCGCAGGCCGCTTTCCCATCGTTCCGGGTGCACGAATCGCCCCAGTGCAACGAAAACGACGATTCCCGCCCATGGTAGACTCGGTACCATTTTAGAAGTCGCAAACTTTGTACGAACCCCTCGCGTGTGTAAACCGTCGACGAAGGTCGCGTTATAATTAAATCACTGGTGCCGCGAGGTGTAGGAGGCTCATTCTTAAATCCTGGGAGTATCACGATAAGACGCCCTCCCTCCTGGCCTAGTTTTTCCTGTTTTTTTTATCTCATACGTGGTATCACGAGCGCGGAAGTACTATCAAGCGGCTCCAGGGATTGTAATTATATTCAGGAGGGTGCGTACCAAATTGAGGAGCGAATATCACGTGTAACGAGCGGCCTTAAATCACAGCGTTAAACCGGCCGGTTAGCTGATAATATTATAAACGCAGTAAAGTACTCTGGTATCTTGAGATTATTTGCATACTTTTGTCGAGGGATCGCGGCCGCTCGATGTAATTCGCATTATTTAAGACAGAACTGCGAGTGCGAGCGATGAATCGCTTCTCTTTTACACTAAGAATTTGGTGCAGAACCCCGAGGTGGTTCGCTCGCGAACGTATAGTTAAGACAGCTCTGGCTTTCGGGCCGCGCATGTGAGGGAAATAATGAGCGCGAAAGACTGGGAAAAAAGCACGTACGGTATGAATATATAATATATTATATCGTGTATTATCTTATGACATTATATTCTCCCGTTTATCTTCTTACTCCTCCGTAGCATCGCTGCAATATCCATACGCAGAGTGTACATACACAGAAATCATGTACAGTGTACCTGAGATTCCGCGCGCAATCTTCATCATCACATTGGTTATAATGTTTGCTGCATGTGTATTATTATTCCGTGATTAATCACGCCACTATTGGCGTACGTCATAGAAAGAAGAAGCTATGATATATTGGTATATATCGTATATATAACAGTTATGGAACCCAAGTAAATGTCCTGAAAAAAAGAAATATTGCAGGTGGCCACACACGACTCCTAAATCATCAATCATATGAAAGTATCATAAATATAGTAGAATACTGGATGTTACGAATATTGCAACAAGTGCAATCACTTGGGTCTGAAACGAAAGAAAAATCGCATCAGGATATATTCGAGAGACGACATTTTTATAAGAGAAGAAGATATTCGATATTACTTACGAGGTATATTGTATTGTGCTTTCGGCGGTGTCACCTTGCCAAGTTCGCCGTCGCCGAAGCAACCCACTAGTTGTAATTTGGGAAATAATTTTTTGAATATCGACGATTCCACGTCTGATCTGTCATAAATCGATGTGCCGCGCGCGTGACACGCAAACATATACCCGATGCTATGTCTCCTTAATTGTACATTTTCCTTCCATATTCTCAAGTGTTTCTCAACGTTTTCTATTGTGTCACATTTATCGTCTAGAATCGTGGACCATGTCTTTATGTGGCCGGTAATTAAGATACCGAAACAATGCAAAGATTCAAGAAGTACATGAGTCCTGTCATACGTGCAACAACCTCTCACAAAACCACCCCACAACGAAGATATTTTATTTGAATATCTGAGTAAAAAATAAACACATATGATTGAGAGTATGAATGTTATTCTACAATATATTATGTATTATTATTTCAATGAAATCAGAATCACCTGTTCAATTTTCTCACAAAAGGACATAAATAATCATGTACCACATGTTGAACACTGTTGCATAATAATATTAAACATGTAGACCTTTCTGCATCTGGTAGTGGCAATGCTTCTAGAGCCCCCACAAATTCTTCCTCCCATTTTCTAAACGTAATATCTGACTCGTTCTGTCCGTCTGGAAACCATTCCAATTGAAACGTCCTCATGTCTGCATTCGGAATCTTCGGTAAAAATGCACACACTATGTCTTCGGTGATGCCTTCTATTTCTGAATTCTCTATAATAATTCCTGCATTGCTCATCATTACGAACTGTGAATCCTTGTAAGCTTCTTGAAAAGTATCTCCTTGAAAAGAAATAAAAGATTGATTTTAATGATCTCATTATACAATTATCCAAATAGAAATAAATGAAGAAGGTGAACATTGTAAGATATTTAAATACATAGAAACGAAAAATATTTAAGAAACAATAATTTTTCATATATCTCTTATCATCTTTTCATATATATCTTTAAAGACAAAGTTATAATTGTTATCTATCTTCATAATACAAAATTTGTATATGTATATATATATATATATAATTTTTGAAAAATTTACATACCTATAAATGACCTTTTCATACGAAGATAGTTTCTTTTACTAGATATAAAATAGAGTGAAATATATGGTTTGATCCTTAGTTCCAAGACTTTTTCTAAAATATTTGTTAGATCCTTTCCAATTTTATTAGAATGTTCTATAAAAGTAACAGGTTCGTATCTTGTTTGCATTTCTTTATTAGCTGCTTCTGACCAGGACCTGTTAAGAATAATTCTATACCAAACTTCATATTATATTCAGTTTATAAATTCATGTGCTTTTTATTTTTAATGTATCAGTTAATGACGTTACATTATAAATATCAATAATCAATACATAAGTACTCTAATGATCACAATGATATAAAATGCCCCAATTTACAATTTATTTATAAATAATGCTTTCAAAAATATATATTAATAATTTTGCGCGACACAACACAGATATATTCTTAAAGTAACAATCTATCGAAACAAATCAGATTTCCGAACAAAAGCCGATTGTTCAACTCTGTTGTGTTCGTTGAACATATGATCATTAGAACCGTTTTAGTCGTGAATGAACGAGCAATTTAAAATCAAATCGGGTGTAAATCATCTGCGGATTATTAATGCGTTATACCTAGAAACCGGCAAAATATTTGTCAAATCCCTATAGCTTAAGAACTGAAAGATAAGTCTCAAAACATCATAGGTTAGGTGGATTTTCTTAGATTGCGCGATAATCGCGCAGGTTTGCTTCTTAACTTCATCCTCGGTCTCGACATGAGATGCACGCCGACGAAGTTTTTTCTTCGCTCTGGTATCCATTCACAATAGTATGAAAATTCAGAACTGTTGTTTAACAAACGTTACAAACCGTAACGTTACCGTGACACACACACACACACATGTAAATTCAACGCTACAACGCATCGGTTCTTTTCTCCTTCTCCTCCCTTCGCTTTATCCCCTCCTCTTTTCTAATTTTCTGTTTTTATCACACATATATAGTTATTGAACTAAATCGGTTTATTTCGTTATTTTCGATTCAGGGAAAATTGTATTATGAAATTATCAGGGAAGATTATTTTCGATCAAAACGATTTCGTTTTTCATCAATTTTGTTTTACACGGGCACTTGGTTATCTTTTATCGCAACTTCATCGTGTATGTTCCTAATGTGTCCTAATGAATGTCCCTGAAGTTGAACTCTTCCGTGTCAAAAATACATCAATCTAGATATTCATGCTTCATGACTGTTGCTTAAAAATTATAGAGAACTATCCTTTTATATTAATTAACTCGGTTAACATCGTGTAACTTATCACATTTATCTTTCCTTATATTTAATTCTTTCGCGCACGTCGTTTTGAAATACGCGACACGTTCATGAATCTTATAATATTTAATAAATGTGATATATTTGTTAAGGATATTTATCTTTTCTTTTATTTTAACAAGTTTTGTCCAGATTTAGCCTATGAGTAAAATACGACATTCACTATTCTTAGTATATAATTTAATACATATTGCAGTACAAATAGTTTTTATTATAATATAAAGTCAAGTATATAATTTACATTTTCTTTTTAAGACTACAACAATGAAAGCATAGTATAACATAATAAGGGTTACTCACATTACCAATTGTTTTTAGAAAAAATAGGCTTGCAGCTAGTGCAATGTTTTCTGGATTAGATTATGTTTGGCATCGTTATAATGCCTGGTTGAATGTACGATATTGACATCGAGACGCAGGCAAGTATTATCGGCGAACCTTTCGCATCCTGTTGTAGACGATTTAACTCGACGGGTTGGAGAAACGAGTTCTCCTTCCTGCAATATAATCGGGATATTATTATCAATGTCAACATTAAAGTACAATCAGCAACAGGCCAACATTTTTTTCTATAAACTTCAGAACGCGTCCAATGAGAGAATTCCTTAATAATTCGTAGGAAAATAGATTTGCGAAAATAGAGATGCGTTGCGAAACTCATCGAAGAAAGAAAGATGTTGCAACCTGCCGTCCTGTGACTGATCGTACGCTCGACTCATAAACAAAATTACCTTATCACTACCACGCTGTACAACGGTTGACCGGGACTCGTTTTTCTATAGTGATGAGAGCACGAATACACGTTGTACGATATCTTGTATTTGCTCTTCTTCCTTCTGACAGTCTTCTCCGGCGCGGATTTTATTATAGCGAGCTTACTGTAAACCTCGGCGAGTGACGTTGCGTATCTGGGCCCGACCAACGGATTGATGAACTGCTCCACAACCTGCACCTCCTCCCCCCCGTTCATGCTCTTACAATCTTCGTCGTCGATCGTGATGGTTTTCTCCTCGTACCATTTCTTCTTCAGCTCCGCCCACGAATCGGCTCCTGAGCGTGTCGTGAAAGATGGCCGGTTAACGATTTCGTAACCACCGCTCCTCCTCGCGCCGTCGGGGTGGCGATTTGCGACGGAATGCGCATTTCCCTGCGTCGCCGGCGCGTTCTCCGGACGTCGCTGACAGAACCTCTGCTGCCAGTAGAAATTTTGATAGAACGGCTGCCGACACTGGTTCTCCACGAAAGGATACCTAATTCGTAACGGTGCCATGAACGGCAGCGCGAAGTTGTTCATCTGTATGGTGAGGCTTCTAGTCTGCTGAACGTTCCCGTGATCCTCGAAGGCGACGAGCGTATTTTGAAACACGTTCTGCTGCATCAGCGTCAACCGATTCTGCAGCGAGTACGCGCCTTGGCCGTAGCCGAACGGGAATCTGTTGTACGCGAAGGGAAAATGGACATTCGGCCCATGCAGATGGTCGAAGTAAAACGGCCGGCATGGCGCACCGTACATAGAGCGCGCGAATTGATTCTGATAAGCGATTCTGGTAAGCCTGCCGTTGCCGACAGAAGTTCCAGGGCTCTTGATCAAAGAAGCGTTGGAGTGAGACGCGTTCTGCTTCGAGCTGGCGTCAATACCCTTGCAATTTTGTCGCGCTCGCCTATCGTTCTCCTGCATATGCGATATCTTCGTCGGACTGTACTGATAGGCGGTCTTCTGCGGTCTCACGTTATACGGTATGTACCGTTTGGAAATCTTCGCCGTGATGTTCGACTTGGAGGCGATATTCGGCAGCAAATTCAACATCTCCATTCTCGTCATGGTGCGCGGCAATTCCTGAATCTCGTCGTCTGACAGCTCAATCACCTAATCGTGGGGAAAGAAAGATCGTTTTATGAATGATTAGCATTGTGTGATCATAATGTGGAAATGTTCTACCTCGTCTTTGGACTTCTTCGTATCCTGCGATTCATCAGTCGTCACGACCAACTTCCGTTTCCCATAGTTCCTGAGACTTCCACTTGCACAACTGGAGCCGATTATAGAAACATCGGCATGCGACATTTTATCGTTCCTCTTGGGCAACAGTTTGACGTTGCGTTGAATGCGAGCACCCAGCCCTTTCGATGCAGTGACTGTTTCCCTCTTCAGATTACAAGTCGTGTCACTCAGGATTTTAATACTGCCCAGCAGAGTTTCGTCGGAAATAATCTTCAGTTTTGAATTTCGACTCCTCTCCTCGCCATTTGTATCATTTTTTTGTTTTTTACTCTCTATTGATTGCGAATCAGCTGAATTATTTACACTACTGTAATCTTCTATATTGCAAAGAATGTGTTCTATCACATCAAGTACTACCGCTTCCATAGGATTTTCTGCAATAGCATCTCGGCAGTCTTTTATATTAGAATCAACTAAAGAAGTATCTAATGTTGGTGATGTATCTTTCGCTAAGGTTTCTTTAAACTTCTCTGAAACTTGCTGATTCTGAGTTTGACTGTCGCACATTCTTAGTCCATTCTCAGGATCAACAATAACTTTCCTCTTAACAGATGTAGAGTCGTCTAATCTACTGTACCTATCTGATTCTTCATAAACGTAACGCTGTATACGGTAGCCAGAACGTGTTAACTGACTATAAACTCTATATTCGTCTAAAGTGCATACTATATCATCAATCAAAATCTCATATGCTTGTTGTACTGAGCACGGTACACCATTCCAAATGAGTTCAAGGCAATTCTGCAAGAAAGGAATGCATTTGAATATTTTATAAGTAATATTTTACAAGTAATATTTAAAGCTCCTAAAATTTTTTTTTTGTTTGTGATAATTATACAATTGTTTCAGATTTCACTTTTTTTTTTATTTAACTTATTTTTCAAAGTAACTTTATTTTTTCTGCAAAATTTGACTTCTTTTTTCTTTAAACATGAAATTGGAAAAAGTGCAGAAAATGCATTTGATATGACAACATTGAAAATTAAAAATTAAAAATGTCAACAAATTATTTATAATAAGAAATATATGTAAGATGAAATAAGGTAATATATCTAAGATATTATGTATCATTAAAACTGAATTTAAATAGTATGGTATCAAATCTAAATCAAGGATTAAACACTTTCCAATACATACGGTTTCTAGAAGAAATAATGCTTCCTCTGGTATCAAATACAAGGAACCATTTTTATCCGTGCCAAAACTAGACCAATCCTGGCCAGATTTCTTGATAACAAGAGCCTTCTTCTGAGCTGGAATCCATTCAGCACTGGCTAATTCTGAGATACGCTCAACCCTTTCAGTATTTAATAGGTCCCTACGAGTTTTAAGTCCCTTTTCAATCTGAACATTTTCGAGCCATGAGTTATTAGGCTCAAAATGTTTCTCTCCACCCTTTGGAAGAACCTGAAGCGATTTTTCCCATTCCTCCAACACACTGGTTCTGATGCCTTTACTACGCAGCAATTCTTCTGCCCTATTGAATAGTGTAACAATTTTCGTTTGGACAATGACACTCTTGATTATTAAACGTTAAGTATCAAATAGCAAGCTGTTACACAAAGATAACAAATTACCAGGTTGTTAACCTACCTTAATACGTTAGAAGGTAATTTCTTGCATATTTCATCCATGTCGATAAGTACAATTCGAATCTACAGAGAACAATACTGTAAGATGAATAAGTCATGATTCAAAATACAAACTTTATGATTTCTGGGCATCGTTCAAAATCACACATGTACACAGTGGTCAAATAGCATGAGGCCATGCCGGTGAATTACAACATTACGCGAAATGAATCGATCTCCTATTGGGTTACCCTGTATACAGTGTGTTCCTAAGCCGAACAGAATCTGTCCAAAATCTTTCCAGTATGATGGATATAGAATCTTGCATCAGTACGCAATGAATGTGAAATATCTCGGTATCTCTAGCGTAAAAATGTAACAAAGCATTTGACCGTTTTTTTAAAGATCCGTTTCAACTGCATAACTGCGTGGATTCTGAGTAGGATCCATTTCACGTTGCAAATGCTTCGAAGCGCTATATAGACCAATCATATTCTTTCTTTAAGCACTTCGAAGCGTTTGCACCTTCAAGTGGATCGTATCCTCTAACTTATTTGGTCTTATTTGAATAGGGAAATTTAACGGCTAACATCGCACCAGCCTAGGTATTTTCTCTCCACTTTTTCCGTTGGCGATCCTTCCGACAACTTTGCGCGTCACCTGCGAACGAAAGATAGCGCCACGCTGGGCGGGGCTGATTCTTCGCGTAACGTTCCAATCTGATCGGATGGCGTGTCGCGTATCACCAACGGCAAAACACAAGTTTGTAACGGGCCACTCCTTATCACTCACGGATTATCACACAATGCTCGTGATCAACGTTGTTTTTTAGTATTACCCTTCGTATGCACGCGTTCACGCGGTGATGCTTATCGTGTGCAGCTATTTGTGATTCGTAGTTTTCGATCGGCTCGATCAGTAAATCGTCATCTTAAGGTGGGTCCCGATGACACATGCGATTCGAAGAATGCGCGTTTGGGCGTTGACCGACGCGCTGTTTAACCCTGTGACTTGTTACTGACTTTGTTTTCAACGCGTGAATCCCGATGCGTTAAATCCCGTGATTATCGCCGACGTGCCAACGCTATCCTACGAGCGTACAGCGTCATTTATTTACCCGGAGAATTAACTGCATTTGACAAGTTTTACATGTATTGTCAGTAAACGGCGTACGTGAGAAATCAATTAGACGAGTAGGCGTGTCAAAAATCACACCTATTTGCCGTACCTTCGTAGATGTGCAGTTCCTAGTATGACTTTTGTATTATTAACTTCCGCCGAATCTCATTCTTGTGCATTACTCTGATTTGTTACACAATATCATGTATTTGGACTATTATCTTTTGAAGCAATATTCTTTGGTGTTTTCATGAAATCTAAATAACGAGTTATATATATTGTAGAAAAATGCTGATCTGGATTCTTTTGTCATTCCTGGCTTTTGGAGATGGCCAGTTTACTCAAGAACCCATAGACTCTACCTCTAGAGTCCCATGGAATCGATACGATGATCAAAATGTGGGCTTCGGATTTAGAAACCCCATTCAAAGTGAAAATGTCATAATTAAGGAATCGTGCGTATCAGTATTGTTAAGCTTAACGCTAAAAAAGAATATTAATTTTACAAATGAAATTACCAAAGAAGGCTCCGTGTAATAAGTAATTATACCTTACTTGCAGCACATACTTTATAATCGCATCTCGCATGGTCAGACCTGATCAAGTGTACCGAGTTGCTGTACATATCCTTCACAGTCCGCTACCTATAGTAGTGCGCTCATCTATTCAGCGCAATGGCGTGGAAGTTGCAGCAGATCATCAGAAGATAAAAGCAGGCATACCGGAAACCCTGATGATGCGTATGCCACCTACTTCTGTAGGCGGTGATTACAGACTGCGTGTAGAAGGGTTGTACAATAGCCTAAAGGGTGGCCAAGCCTTCTTGAATGAAACCAAGTTGATATTCTCCCAACGTTCCATGACCATCTTCATACAGTTGGACAAGCCGGTGTATATGCAGAGTGACACAGTGCGATTTAGGACAATCCCGATAGACACGGAGCTGAAGGCCTACAATAATCCCGTGGACGTGTTCATGCTGGACCCGAACAGACGAATCATGAGAAGGTGGCTCAGCAGACAAACCAATCTGGGCACTGTGTCGTTGTCGTATCAGCTCTCCGATCAACCGGTATTCGGCGAGTGGATCGTGCAGGTGATCGCGCAGAATCAAGTAGAGGAGAAGAGGTTCCTCGTAGAGGAGTATTACCAAACGCGTTTCGAGGTGAACGTAACGATGCCGGCGTTTTTCTTCAACAACGATCCCTTCATCTACGGCGTCGTCCAGGCGAATTACACGTCCGGCGCGCCGGTGAAGGGTAACTTGACTCTGAAAGCCAGTTTCAGACCGCTACTGAGAACGCGCGATCCGAATATAGCGATCGAACCGATCGATAGGTACTTCAGCTTCAACGAATATTATCCGTCCTGGTTCAGAACGTTGAACCTGTACGAGGAGAGAGTGCCGGTGCTGAGATTCTTCAACGGCACGTACCACTTCCAGTATCCCATGCAGGAACTGTTGAACTTCGTGCCGTCCACCGAAGGCATGGAGGTCACTGTGGTCGCGACGGTGGGCGAGAGATTCTTGGACGAGGTGATCGTCGGCTATTCCACAGCGAGGATCTTCAACTCCACGACGAAAGTGCGCTTCCTCGGCGGCAGTCCGCAAGTTTTCAAACCGGCGATGCCTTTCACGCTACACCTGGTCGCGTCCTTCCACGACGACTCGCCGTTGCGTCCCACGCAGCTCAAGAACGCCGTGATGGAGATACATTCAACGGTGAACATGCGCAGCGGTGGGACACGCAATATCAATAACCAGAAACTGGAACCGTCCTCGGAGCACGAGGGGGTCTGGTCCGTGAATATGGATCTGCGGAAACTGCTCCAACTACAAAAAGACCCTTATCGCGCTAATCAAATACTGAGCGACATCACTTCCATAAGGGTGTTCGCGCAAATCCTCGACGGCGAGGGCTACAGGGCGAGCGCCGAGCTGTGGATGTACGCTCACGAGTCGCCGAATTTGAAGCACATCAAGATCTCGACGTCCACCGAAAACCCCAAGGTCGGCGAGTACATGGTATTCCACGTGCAGACGAATTTTCACATCGACACCTTCAACTACATCATCATGTCGAAGGGTATAATACTGCTGACTGGAGAGGACAATATGCAGCACACTATCACGACCTTCGCGATTCCCCTGAGCCCGGAGATGGCTCCGGTCGCGACCGCCTTGGTGTACTACGTGGGCCGCTACGGCGAGGTGGTGGCGGACTCGCTGACGTTCCCGGTGAACGGTATCTCGCGCAACAACTTCACCGTGTTCATCAACAACAAGAAGGCGAGGACGGGGGAACGCGTGGAGGTGGCGATCTACGGCGAGCCCGGTGCGTACGTCGCGCTGTCGGGCATCGACCGTTCCTTCTACACCATGCAGGCCGGCAACGAGCTGGCGTATGCAAACGTCATCACAAAGATGGCACATTTCGACGAGGAGACCAACGGCACCCATTTGCACACTTGGCAGTATCACGACGGTGATCCGGACGAGATCGTGTATTTCCCGTCGTCCACCTTCGGCATCGACGTCAATCGCACGTTTGAATTCATCGGCCTGGTAGTCTTCACGGACGCTGCGATACATCGTAAGCCCGACTTCTGCAATCGGACTCAAGGATACGGCGAGTGTTTGTCCGGTCAATGTTACCGGCTGGAGAAGAGATGCGACGGCACTCTCGACTGCGAAGACGGCTCGGACGAGGCGCGGTGCGTCGAGCGGAACGCCACCGACCTGGCATTATTCCGCAAGTGGCGGTTCAACCGGATCCAACGGCACTACGAGAACGTCTGGCTCTGGAAGGACATCAACATCGGTCCGCACGGCAGGCAGATCTTCAACATCGACGTGCCGCGCAGGCCGGTTCACTGGATGATCACAGCGTTCAGTATGTCGCCGAGCGTCGGCTTCGGTATGCTGACGAAGGCGCTCGAGTATACCGGCGTGTTGCCGTTCTACATAAACGTGGAGATGCCGATTAAGAGTAGACAGGGCGAGCAGATCGGCATCCGGGTGTCCGTCTTCAACTACATGTGCTACAACATCGAGGCGACGGTGGTTCTAGCGGGCTCCAAGGACTACAAGTTCGTCCACGTCGAGGACGGCGGTATCGTGCAGTCGTATAAGCCGCGCACCTCCTTCGGTGAGCACCAATTCTTCGTGTGGATACCCGCGCAAGACGCTACCATCGTCTACCTACCCATCGTGCCGGTGAGGCTCGGTGACATCCAGGTTCGCGTGCACGCGACCACTCTGATCGGCAAGGACTCGGTGACTCGCACGCTGCACGTGGAGGCCGACGGGGTGCCGCAGTACCGGCACCAGTCGGTCCTGTTGGATCTCAGCACCCGAGCCTTGTCGGTTCACTACATGCACGTCAACATTACGGAAACGCCCATCATACCGTACGACGAGAACCGTTACTACGTGTTCGGCTCCAACAAGGCGACCGTCAGCGTGGTGGGTGACGTGGTGGGGCCGATCTTCCCGACGATGCCGATGAACGCGTCGAGCCTCCTGAATCTGCCCATGGACTGCGCCGAGCAGAACATGTTCGGCTTCGCCGCCAACATGTACAGCACCCTGATGATGCGCCTGATCAACCAGCGCAATCACACGCTGGAGAAGGAGAGCTTCTACCACATGAACATCGGCTATCAACGGCAATTGTCCTTCATGAATCCCGACGGCTCGTTCAGCTTCTTCCGCACCGACTGGAACCAATCGATGCCGAGCGTCTGGCTGACGGCGTTCTGCGCGCGGATCTTCCAAGAGGCCAGTTTCTACGAGTGGGAGAATTATCTGTACATCGATCCCGAGGTGATCATGCAGGCGGTCTCGTGGATACTCAAGCACCAGACGCCGGAGGGCGCGTTCTACGACGTGACCTGGCTACCGGACAGGAAGATGAATAGCTCGCTCAACTACGAGAACGACATAATCGCCCACAGAAACATCAGTCTCACAGCGCACGTACTTATCACGCTCGAGAGTGTCAAGGATCTTAGCGGCACTCTAGGTTCTCAAGTGGCCTTGGCCGCGGCCAACGCCATCAAATGGCTCGAGAGGAACTTGAAATTACTGGAGTTGCACGGCAATCCCTACGACATCGCCATAGTGTCCTACGCGCTTTTGGTGTCGAAGGCCGCCGCCGCCGAGCAAGCCTTCAACATTCTTTCAGATCACAGACGCTCCGTTAGCGGGATGATATATTGGGGCAGAGAAGCGGTGCCAGCTCCACCAACCAAGATGGAGAATCAGAAGCCCTTCCACCTGCCGCGTTTACCCTACAGGTACGACTCGGAGAATATAGAGACTACCGCGTACGCCCTCCTCGTCTACGTCGCCAGGCAGGAGTACAACACGGAGTACATAGTGACCTGGCTGAACTCGCAGAGGCTGACGGACAGCGGATGGGGTTCCACGCAGGACACCGTTTGGGCCATAAAGGCACTGTTGGAATACACCGTCAAGTCGAGGATCAGGGATGTGAGCTCGCTCAAGGTACAGATAGAAGCTACATCTCTGCCGGGACAGATCAAATACTTGTCCTTTAATGGCAAGAATCTGGCGCAGCGTCAAACCCTCGAGGTACGTAACGTCTTCAAGTATCCCGCGAATGCCATGCTCTAATTCTTTCATTTCGCGCAGATACCGGAAGCATGGGGAACCGTGAGGGTAGAGGGGCGGGGCGCAGGTTACTCTATTCTGCAGATGACCGTGCAGTACAACGTGGATATCCAGAAATTCCAGACTATGCCGCCGATCAAAGCCTTCGATCTAGTCACTCGAGCGAATTTCCACGGCAGGAATCAGTCTCACATATCGTACGTCAGTTGTCAAAGGTGAGGCGGATCGTCGATCGTTGTCTTCCTATATTGTCTTTACGTCTGTATAAAAACGCACTTTCCACACAGATGGATCAACGTCAACGAATCCTTGCGTTCCGGTATGGCGGTGTTGGACGTTGGCATACCAACTGGCTACATAATCCAGCAGCAAACCTTGGACCGGTACATCCTCTCGAAGCAGGTGAGGAATCTTCAGAGAGCGCGCTTCCAGGACAAAAAGGTGATCTTCTACTTTGATTATCTGGACACCGAAGAGACGTGCGTGAACTTCACCGTGGAACGCTGGCATCCAGTCGCTAATATGTCGCGATATCTTGCCATTCGCGTTTACGAGTTCTATACGCCAGGTACGTGGAAAACATGCTTCGCACATTGATATACGTTATCTCGTTGCAATAATTACATAATTAAAATGATTAATATAATGATTAATCGCAATTCATACATATCGAGAGATGGATCATTTCCGTTTCAGAACGCTTCAACGAAACTATATTCGATGCACTGCCCACGTATACGTTGAATATCTGTGAGGTTTGTGGTAGCTCACAATGCCCGTACTGTCCAATTTACAACGCAGCCACACTTCTAGCCACGCCGGGAGGTTTCCTGCTCATCGCGTCGCTCGTCGTCACGATAACGAGGTACTTCCGAACGCAGCAATTCAACGACGGTTAGCGGCTCCTGGATAAAGGTAATAGCGTTCGATCCTCGTTCGATACAGTCGTCCGTTTCTATCGTTATCATTTTCCTCCGTTAAATGGAGCATGAATATCGAATGGTACAACAATCAGAGCCTAATACGTGTCCACGAATCTCTCATTTCTGATGATTTGAAAAACCGTGTGTCGGGCACACAGAGTTTTTCTAGATGTATTTTATAGATATTTTTCCGTAATTTTTGAAATTTCAGGATTTTTTTTTACGTATAGGATAATGCTATTATATTGCAGGAGATCTCGATAGTTGGTTTAAAAAGATTCAGATACTTTGTCGCGAAACTGATATAATAGTATCTTTTTAAAGATATAATCATTAAATTGGTAGACAGTATGGTTTTGCAAATGGGCCGTTTTTTTTTATACTGTCATGTTTTATTTGAGAAAAATTGCCAAAATAAGTAAAAATAATTATTTTCATTGGACGGGAAGAATAATATCGAGATTCACAATAAAATATGATTATTTCGTAATAACGTGCCGAATTATCTCTTGCATATCATTCTTTTGGATTACGTTTGTGGGATAAATTTTTTTAATCGTATAAAATTTTAAGTAAGCTTTTAATTGACGTGCAGAGGTCACGTACAGAGGCCAGCTAAATATAGCTGTCATAATGCTGCTAAATTATAAAAATGTCAAGATCTTTCACATATCGGAAAGTCCTTAAATTACCTTTTCACATTTGAACGATACGCTAGGAGATTGTATTGTCAGCAGTGAAATATATAACTGATATATTCACTTACCTGCCTGCCAAAAAGATAAACTGTACAGGCAAAAGGCATGATGTATTTACTTCTAGATGCGAGGAAACGCACAAATGTATTGTATCGTGATCAGTGTTTGCCGGTATCTAGATAAAATTATCTAAATATTCGTCCAGATGAATAAGTAGATCATCTTTATCTAGGTGGAAGAAGTACAAAATATATTCATCTTAGATAAAAAAATGTTATCTCATCTAAAAATTACCTGAAATGGTATGGTCCATTTTCTGAGCTCATTCTTCGATCAAATGAACGACATCTCATCTAAGATGAATTTATCGGATTTCCATCTCAGCTTCATCTAGATAAATCTGAAATCATCTCAGGCAAACACTGATCGTAATCTTATGAGACTGCACGGTATTGAAAGTAATCGTTCTCGAAAATATTGACGCAATTTCGAGCGTTTCGCGCGAAATCCGCGATTTTAATATTGTTATAACGATTATTATTAATTCTTATAAATACTATATTATCCGTCCCGTTTTTTAAATCTTAGAAAGCAGTTAAAGTTATTTACACGGTTAGGGCATTGTACTCTTGGAGGCAAGGCATCTCAAGTACAAATCCAGCGTAATAGTCGTAGCCAGCGACTTTTGCACGCAGAGTCGTTAGCTATGCTATTGACCGTTATTACCAAAATAATCACGGCAAAAGTGTTCGTAGTCGTTAAAATGAAAAGAAAAACAAGAGCCTACCGAGAACACAACCGCTGCTATCGCTCGCCCGTAGTTTTGGATCTTGAATAAGTTGTCATAAATATCTCTTTTCTTTTTCTTCCATAGTTCTCGGTCTAAAGATCGTTTCATGATATTTCGTACTCTATACTCTTTTTTTTTTCTTTTTACGAAATGATCGTTTGCAAATCGTGCCTTCGTAGTACTCGTTAACATTTCTGGCATTAATGCTTCTTTCCGTTCTACATCTTATCTCATTCCTCAAATACAAAAGATCAATCAAAGAGATACACATGCGTATACACATTATCAGTGTGATCGGCATAGTGTGTAAATAGTAGAGCGTAGAAGACGTAAATATATTCCAGTTCGATGCGAGTAATCGAGCGAATGACAATGATACCGTCCTGTTTATATATATTATTCGCGCGAATCAGAAGGACCGTGGGGTCCCCGTAATAATTAGTGCCTCGAGAAATATACATTTACATGTATAAATATGTATCTGTTGAAACCAGAAAAAGAAAAGATACGTCAAAGGTCTATTTTAATAACATAGCTCTTATTATAGATATATATATATATATATATGTATAAGTTGTAGTTACATAGCGTAAACCGTTTACGCCACCGGTGCTTTAAGGGTCCGCCTTGAACGTAACTGTCGCAATTCGCACGCACAGCAACTTCGTACGCTATCCGCTAAAATAATTTATTACACTCGATCTCTCTAAAACGAACGCCGACGACGGACCTTTAAAATCGCATCCGCGTGCGCGTGACGCTTTGAGATACCGTCCATGAGAAAGTCTGCTTGGCGATAAACATGTACTTTATAGTAGTAACAGAAAGAAAACGTCGACAGAAACGAAAGTCGCGAAGCGCACGATCTCGCACGATCTCGCACGATCGAGCGATAGATCCTTCTTTAGAGATTAACGAAGACAGCATTTTAACACACGTTGAATATACATACATATATTTTTAAGTTTTTTAACCTTTATATAAATGAACAATAAAAAGATGATTTCGTATTCCGTCTGGTGTACTTGTTCCTGATTCCCCGAATGAACCGAACGAGAGTGGCGCGTCGTATCGAAGGATGCAGGGGGTGAAGAAGATGTGCAGTCAAGTTTCGTCGGCCTGTTTTCGAAGCAATCTTTAATATAGCAACATAGTCAGTCTTACAATAATAAGCCAAAAATACAATCTATATGTCAAGCCTGGCGGGGAACGGGCGAAAAAGACTTCTTTCCTTCTCTCGTGAGCATCTTCGGCGAAGTTGATCGCGCGGCGAGAACCTCACGGCGGGAAGAGGCGCGTTTTGCTTTCGCCCGGACCCCTCGACGAATTTTACAATTTTACACATAATTATAATGTATCACGGTCGTGAAACTGTAGGTCCTGCTCTCTCTTTTTCTCTCTCCAACGATGCGGATTCGCACAACTAATAAGACGCACGCGCGTTGCTTTCTCTCACTCTTTCTCTTTCATTTTCTCCTTATCTTTTTACCTATCGTGCCAACGGAATGATCATCATGTATAATTAGCCTCGACGAGCCCTTTTTTCGCAAAACTATACTTCGAGTTCGACTACACATCAAGCTGAAGTTCGGAAACGGACTCCCGCCGCGTACCCCTTTTTTGCAGCAGTTGCGAGTGATCTTTCTCTCTCTCTCTCTCTCTCTCTCTCTCTCTCCTTATCATTCTCTGCGTTGATAACGATTCCTAAAATATTATCGAACGTTTCGTCCCAGTTCGCTTGAATGTGCGGATTGTCATTGTTGAAGAGGTTTGATCGTCTCGTAAATTTCATTATAAAAGCGACGTGATCAAGCGACTAACTAACGCGAGCGACGTCACCGGCGCGACGTGATAAATATGTATTTTTATAAAACGCCTAGAAACTTCTACAGTCAGCTACCGAAGCGTCTCCCTTCCGCGACAGATCGTCACACTTTGTTCGCGCGACTCGGATACTCCTAGTCGGGATATTCTTGCAAAGTTGCATAAGCTTCTCATAGTTGTAAGATACGCTTCGCCCATGACATTAAAGGGAAGATAGCATGGAATCTCGTTATCGCTCGTTTGCTTGGGTCCGCTTTAGGCAAACGTTTCCGGTCTGATGTGCGGATAATTGAAAATCAATAATTAAAAGGAGCTCATGCTCGTCCCCAACGTGAAACCTTTTTTGATCGGAGGTTATTTGAACGCGCAAAGTATCCGAAATTTCCTCTCCTTCTCTCTTGTCGAGAGGAAATAACTGAGAATATACATGGATATACCGTGTCTAGCTATACAGAAAATATCGAAACGGATGACGTTCGCTAAATCGAACATGAGGTTGATCTGCATTGAAAAGGGCGCAAAACATTTCACGAAAGCGCAATTTCGTATTCGGGCTTTTGTGCTTAAGACTCGGTCGTTCGATCAATATCATCAATTATTCTCATGCGACACGCGTTCTGCGCCGCAAAATCGATTTTCCAAACAAACGCGTTGCTTTCTATCTCTCTCTTTCTCCCTCTCTCTCTCTCTATATATATCTTTCGTGTGCATTTGAAGCCCTCGCCCGATCCTACAGCGTGTAGTAACATTCACAACATTCCGGATTATAATCATCGTTTCTGACGTTCGTGCTACGGACCTAGATGAAAAATCAGGGCAGGAGGAAACGATCGATACAAATATATAGATATATTATAATATAATAGAGTTATTTGATGAAACATTTAAAGCCGTACAATAAAATATACAGTATGATGTGTGTGTCATCGTTATTCGTGTGTGGGCGTGTGTCTCGTGTGTATTCGTGTGTTATCGGTTACCTCGTGTGTATACTTCGGGATTAAGTGTATCTTACGTGTTTAAAAGATGTCTCAAAATATGCAGCCACATTTACCATGTTTTTCGCATTATTTTTTTTTATATCGTGTATACTTTTTTTGTATTTTTTTTTCCTCGGATCGATACGTTTTCTTGATGAGTAAGATAGCAAGTATGTACTTTTTGGATCGAGAGATTCGATACGGCAGTAATTCTTCTTGGCGCTCTTGCGCGACTCTTTTTCTCTCCCTCTTTCCGATGAGATATTCGCGCTGAGATATATCGTCGACACATATCTTCCCCCTCGTCCGCGTCTATTCTTCTTCGCATAGTGATTTGTATAATATAGATATCGGTATACAGAGCTAGTATCAAATCCTAACGAAATCGGCTACACCAAAATTGTTCCAACGTTCCAACGGAGAGATATGCACTTTGTTCTGCACCGGCCAGCTCCTCCGGCGAGCCGCGTTCCGCCGAGGGCACACCCTCGAGATCTTTGCATTTTTTCTTTGTTCTCCTTTCTTTTATCCTTATCTCCTCGAGATCCTCTCGTGAGGATCCCCCGATCTTCCATCGTTTATATTACTATGAAACCTTCTCGCTCAACAGATCACCGTTAGTGTGATAACGCGTCCTTCTTGCTATCATTCACACGGAACGGCCGAGACACAATGCATCACGACCGAATCGTCGAAAATATTACGCGAAGGTTCGAAAGTTTGAGGAAAAACCGCAATGCGGATTCAACGTAACTCGTCGGGCCGTAGTCACGCGTTCGGCTTTAGGTTCGACACAACTGTATTCACGCGAGTGTGTGACATTTAAAAAATGAGGCCTTGCGTATTTTACCTTTAAACTGTCGTTCCTTCTTATGAAAAAAGCGATATACTTTAAGCTTCTACGACGCTAATTCGTTAAATTACTCTTCATGTACATATGTTGATGCAACGTCATTAAATATGTTTATAAAATTTCATTTAAACAATAAAGTTACTCGGAGCCTTTAAAGTACATCATCGATTCGCACGTCTGAATAAAAACGTTGTGAGACATTTTATATCGAGCGCGTATACGCTCCGATCTGCTTCCTTTTCGTTCAAACTGATTCGAAAATTTTACGTAGAAATCAAATACGCCAACATTCGCTAAGATAATTCCCGAAGCACTTTTGTGCCGAGTAATGTCTCTACTAGGCTTGTTACAAGTTTCAAGCCGTAATTAATCAGTCTAATTAGATTTTCACTTAATTATCTCGTGCTATATATCAGTTAATTCTTAATTAGATCTCTCCGAATCCGATCGTTATCTGAAATTTTCAGCACGGGATAAAAGTCTACCGATGGACTCGTTCTTGAACAAGTACATCATCACGTTGGATTCCATCGAAAACTTAGCTAGAAACATTTTCAAAGCATCTCGTTGCTATATCGTTGCTAAAGATCAATGCGCGTGATTTGGAAAACCACCGACTGCAATCGGCTCTCTCAGGCAGTTACGTTTAGATGCTCCTTCAAAATTGTCGCGTAGAAAATCTCCGAAGCCTATAATTAATTTTACGTGAAAACTACCAAGTATGAAAGTATGAAAAAAGCGTCCAAATCCCAGCGAAATGCCGCGTTATACGTAATACTAAATGTTACTCTCGACTTTCATGTGGCTATCGTTAGAATTTAAAAGGATATTCCATCCGACAAACGTGTCAGGATGAATAATATAAAGTGTGGCGTAAAAACATCTCTGGTACATAAAATTTACATACGAAAGTAATAAGCAGCTCCGCGCATTCATAGCTTTCCCATGGAAACTCGACTTCAGCGGAATTACGTTATTTTATCCCATTAAATTACAAATAGAGGTAATATTATATTAGTGTAAGAGAATGTTAGTATATATCGTAGTAGCAGCGATAATATTTGATACAAATAGACAGAGCCAAGTAGATAGCTGTTGGACAACGCCACAATTATTAAACAGCTCACGTTCCCCGTTAGTCGTCCCATAAGCTCGACAAGTACGATAAGTACGGAAATGCTGTTGCATCCATTTCCCAAGACGATACAATGGTAGCAGTAGTGATAAGAGGAAAGGAACCAAGCTGCTTAACGATTATCTGCGATATCCAACAGCTGTTCACACAACTCCTCGCAAAATTAACCATTTGGTCGGTGTGAAAAAATAAACATAACGTTCTTATATTCTGTAAACTACTGTGGACCGCGTCAAGATTGTTACTTCTATTTGGTTGCTTCTCTCGTTCTTACACGATACGCTTGTCGTTTCTCCGCTCGTGGTTCGCGTCAGAACCCTTCTGTCTCGGCGCAAATGTGAGGAGAATAGACACATGCAGATGACAAACGGTGAAGAGAGCGTCCGTTACAGGGACGTAAGAGGAAAGAAAAAGGGTGTACCTTACAGCGCAAGCGATCTATTACTTCGCTAAGTTGAAACCTCGTACCAATATTCCGTCCGCGTATGGCAGGCCAACCGTTCGAAGATTATCCTCCCCCCCTGCCGCGTTATAATTGTCGTACGATATGGAACATAAGTTCTCTCGTTATGGATCATCTGCATGTCAATTTTGCGCGATACCACTGATGATGATTACTCGGATCGAATTCAATTCTTTTTTTCTTTTTCTTTTTTTGTTCTCGGGCAACAACGATGGATCGTCTCTCAGTAATAGTACTTTCCTGGGAATTCTTGATGTTTCTGGGCATCAGTTTCTCTGTCTTATTGGATTAGTTACTACTGCTAATTCAGCTAGATTCCTTTTCTTTCGAATCTGAAACAAAAGATACGAGCGAATCTACTTAGACGAGGGTGTCCCCCTCTCTCCCTCTCTTTAATTTTCGAGCGACGCAAAATAACGCGAATAAGCACGATTGCGCTTTTAAACTTGACACGCGATGTTCTATCATTTTCCTTACCGCTATCAGATTTGTCTTCGGAGGTGCCATTTGTCAATTCCGGTTCCTTCTTCTTCTCCCCCTCCTCCGATTCTACGCTAGACGCTTTCTTCTCTTCCTGATTCGCGGCCTTCTTGTCCTTCGCCTTGCCTTTAGCCGGTGTAGCTGGTTTGGGCTTTGGCTCCAGACTCGGATCCAGAACGATCTTACCGATATTCTTACGATCGTGCATTTTTTGCATGGCTTCGGGCACATCCTCCAGCGCCCACGTCGAGTCTACCATCGGCTTAATCTTGCCCTCGCTCCACAATGTGTACACTTGATTCACTGCTCGTCGTACAAACGCGTGGCTGCCGTGCTGGTACATCAAGTGGCGCAGATTCAATCCAGACAATGTCTTGTTCTCGTCAAACAGCTTTATAGGCGACACTTTGTCGACTTGCCACCACTGGAAGTATCAAATAACACAGCGTTGCATTAGTATCATCGAGGAAAGATCTGACGAAAGGATTTTCAGAGAAATCAACGACCCGAGAAGAAGATATCGAAACGTACAAAACGTCGATAAACTCGAAAAATTGATCGGTTGAAAACTGAAATTACAACGTACTGATCGCGCTGCGGAGAAGAAGCTCTTGGTTTCCCCGGTGACGACGTTGCTGGATCCATAAAGGATGTACTTGCCCATCGGTTTCAAGAGGGCGTAGCCCTTGTTACATTCCTCGCCACACAGACAATCTAAGACTATGTCCACGCCTTCGGGGGAAATTCTGAAAGATCACAGGAGACTCGCATGTTACAAATTCGTCAAGTTCTCCAGATTTTCCAGCGATCACGCGCGACATCGCTTACGTACTTTCGGACTTCGTTGCTGTAGTCCGTGCCGCGCTCCAAAAGATAATCGATGGTTCCGGCGGCTTTCAGTGCTTCATGCTTGGATTTGCTGCAGACACCGAAGATGGTCACGTCCTTCACGGTTTTCGCGAGCTGGACCACCGCCTGACCCTAGATTAGGCAAAAGGAGAAATAATGTTTTCGATTCTCAGCGCTCCGCTAAAAACAGAGGTATGATATATGCGAGCTGTACGCTAAAAAGTGTGTACCGCCACTTCTCGTCCGTCCTTTCACGATGCGAGCCTACTTTTTGCCGAGAAAATCTAGCTACACTCCCGCCGAACACTCGTCGCGTCGTGCGGACTACGGCGCGCCCGTAATGCTACGCCCCGGAGCAAGGATGAGACGGGATTAAGAGAGGAGAAAAAGAACGAGCCGCATGCTGTAGTCGCCCGAGATTTTCAACAGAAGCGGCATACATTATTTCCGAGAATCGCCTTCGTTGCTTTCCATTTCTCTCCGCCTCCTGGTCGAGAGAATTCGATACCCAGCGCGACCGGCGATGTTCCTCCGGGCTCGAGGAAGAACATAAATGAGAAAAAAATGACGAGTAGTGAGAAAGAGTGAGCGAGAGAGAGGGGGGGGGGGCAGAGAGATGGGTAGAAGGAGGAGAGAAACAAAGAGAAAACAGACGACCCAGAATTCTTAAGTAGCCGCAACAAATTGTACGTATCACGAAAGACGCGTGTGAAAATGACGCAGGTGAGAAAAAACGCTGAGTATATTTCAACTTTTCAGTAATTACCGTCGCCGCAGCAGCAGCGCCTTCGAAAAACCCCGATCGTTTTCGTCATTATCACGCGCTCATATATATTCATGAAACTAAAGATGATTACACGATATAAAGAGAGAGAGAGAGAGAGAGAGAGACGGAAAGAGAAAATAAAAAAATTACGTGTGAGATCCTCTTAAGGTACGATTTACAGCGCGATTAATGCAACGTGTTGCAGCCTCGTCGATGACGTTGAGTTGACCGGAGCGACCGGAGTGGAGAGACTTCTTTCTTCGCGAACACAATGACTTAATTAATATTAACCGATCCACGCGCAAGACTCGATGAATAATGTCGCCGGTGCGTTCATCCCTCGTCCGTTACGCTCGGGGAATAAGAAGCGCGTATGGAGAGCGTAGAGGTGATAATTCATACTCCGCGACAACAATGGGCCGCGGCTCTCCGCGAAGGGAGGAAAAACCGCGTTCGCGCGAAAACCGGACACTTTTGCGGCCGATTCTTCGCGCATTAGCCGCGCGAGAAGAACGCCGAGGAAGCCGGTCACGTAGAGCAGAAAAGCGCCTGGGAGAGGAGAGCACTCGACGTGAAAAATAGCGCTTTCTGATCACGTCGGACTTTCCCTCTTTCTCTCCCCTTGAATCTCTCAGACGGATCGCGTCGTATCTCTTTTTTTCTCCGTTCTGTCTCTCCGCTCTTCTTTATGAACAGCGAAGCGCGTTACTCATCGCGCGCGCACGGAGCTCTTATATTCCTGGTGGAGATGGATACATTGAGCGCCTCCGTGCGAGTATAAAGTCAGCAAAAGTGTTCACTCGTTCGACGAGAATGCTCGATTGTCATTTACTATTATTTATATGACAGTTCGACCGGGCAGTAACGTTACGCTAATATGATCGATTTTTCTGGTGTAATTCAGCTTTAAACTTTCCCGTTCAACTGATTCTTTGTCTTTTGTGTGGCTGGAATTTGCATTCCAAACTCTCTTTTATCGATAAAAATGTCTTAAATGTGGCTTCTCAGCCAATCAGATTCTTAAGCCACTTTTAGAGGCACTTTTATCGATAAAAGTGAGTTCAAAAAAAGGACGTAGGACTACAGAAAGATGGAGAAGGGAGGAGAGGAAGAGAAGAAATGAAGAAACGTTTAAACTGAAAGCAGCCATTAATCCCGGTATAATAACGTTCCAAAATTGTAGCCGCCCTAAGCGACATATGAAGCCCGGTGTTTTTGGCCACGTTTCCTGCGCTTCTTTTATCTCGTCTTTCTCTATTTTAAGTACAGACACAGTGTGCAATAAAGTGCGGTGCCGAGAAGAGCAGAGCAGGGCTCATAGCAACGCGGTTAAAGCCGAGGCCGCGAGGGTATATTTTTACATGCAAAATCTCCGAAGGTGATAATCGCTACGAGGAAGATGTAACAAACGGGAGAAAATGGCGAGACACCTAACGGCGATACCGTTCCGTTCGATAACGCGCTCTCATCCCGGCGATCCACCATAATATAACTTATTGCAATCGTGCAAGAAAGATCTCTCCCTAAGTGCACCTCGTACTTAGACCTTAAGTGGCTTCCTTCGGGCGCGCAACTACTACGTTCAATTATCTCGGCACTTTGCGAGAAAACGTCTTCGACCACTCGACATAAAGTTCTCGGAAGTCGCCTTTAATTAAGCGCTTCCATAAAACATCGTAACCGCAGCAGGGCGTCTACCGGCTGTCGCTGTTCGCACACGTGGCGCACGGTGCCGACGCGGTGTGAAAGAAGCTTAAGGCCACCACGTGGTGGTAACGTGCCGGTGATAGTGGCGGCGGCGGCGGCGGTGGTGGTGGCGATAGTGGTGGTGGTGGTGGTGGCGGGGGCGGTATGGTCTCAGACGGGCGCGGCCCATGACGGTGGTCGATGAGAGAGCGAAAGGTTGCCTGGCAACCCTCATACCCCGCACACGATCCGCGCCAGCATCCCCCGTAGATTTCGCCTTTCGTCTCAACCGTCCGGGCGGGGGAGGAGGTGGCTGGCGCGAGGGTGGTTCGCCAGTAGTTGGCTTCGGGTGTAACCTGTTGAGCCGTATTGATCCCGACGGTTCTACCTCCTTCTTCTTCTTCTCCTTCTTCGCCTCGTCGTCCGCCGACGAGTCGAGAGAGAAACCACCCCCATGACCAAGGAATCCGGAAATATCTCCTTGGCGCTTCTCGAGACCATGTCCTCCGCACCTCCCGCCTCTCGCCGTTGATCCGCGCGCCGTCGCTTTTATGATATCTATGGGGTTCAAATGTTGAAATTTCATATTCATCGTTCAGCATTTGAACCACATTGATACCTAATGTCTCGGCCTCGCTGGAGGGATTTAAAGCCCGGTCTCTCCGGCTATGCACACACGCCTGGCAAATTTGACGACTTCGGTAACGCGCGGCACGAACACGGGACGCTTTTATTTCGGTGCGCACACAGAGGAGGAAGTAGCGCTCAAATATTTATTTCACGAGATTTTTTATTCAGGGTGGGACCCTCGCGGTGAACTCTACCGTTCCTTTCTCCTCCCTTCTCTTCCTCTTTTTCTCTATTCGACACTGCGTCGTAAAAGACAAATACCCGTTAACCACGCGCTAAGACGTAGGCGTAACGGGTTCAAGGGAAAAATCTAGCAAGTGCCGGTACTTCACTTATGAGCGGTACACATCTCTGTGCGGTTTCCCGTATGGAAGCACAGTGCTAATACCTCGTTACCCGATTCAGATCCGCTGTGATCGTAATACCGCTACTTATTGGACTCAAAACGCCGTGAGGCGCTTTGAAGACGCTCACTGTTTGCGTTTACGAGCGGCACATCTCTTCGAGACATTAACGCGTTTATGCACATGGCGGAGCTGCCCAAACTTATGAGGGTGCTTCTCTTCGCATTACCATCGCTTAAACACCTTCCCGGCGTTGAAAGAACTTCATCGCCCGCGTGCTCGCGATCGTAAGCGATAAACCGCTTGCATTCGAGATCATTATCGTGCCGATCATTGTGCCATGAAAATTAATACAATCACGCGCACAACGAAATTAATTGATATGACGCGAGGATAATAATATCGCGCGTTTAATACAAGCGCGAATTGGAACGACTATTAATATCGCACGCTGCGAACCAACATCACGCATGGCTGAAGATAATAATTACAATATTATGCACACACATACACATACCAAAATGCGCGCGGAACTCTCAGTAATAATGATTATAACTAAGGAAAGTGCGCAATTAAAAGGCTCAATGAATCAAGCGCGTAATGATACTATCTTTAGCGCCGAAATGCACTCATTCGTTTATAACACAAAGACGGTTGTAAAAATAAAAGAAAGGGAAGTAACAGCGCAGCGCGTGTATAATCGAATATAACAATCACGATACGTTCATAAGCGTATCGCAACACGTCGAGTGTGTCGTGATAAAGGATACGAGAGTGAAAGCGAGGGTGCAATTAAAAAGTCCAATTCATCATCTCGGCCGTATCTTTCCGGAGAAAGAGAGAGAGAGAGGAAGAGAGAGCGATACTCTCTGCGCACGCTCGCTCGCTCGTATATTCTCCTCTCTGACGGAAACGCAAATAAGAAAGAAACAATTGCGCTGACTTACCACACCGCCGCCGGAGCTGTGAAGCAGCAGGCTCTTGCCGGGTGTGAGATTGGCCAACTCGAAGAGCAAAATGTAAGCCACGGTGTAGTTCATGGTGATGGCTGCCGCGTCTAGGTAGCTCATCCCAGGTGGTAGCGCGAAAACAGACGTCGCCGGTACAGCCACGAGCTCTGCCCACGCTTTATGATCGGGAAGGGCGACCACCCTATCGCCCACCTGTTAAAAACAAAGCAAAAATGCCATCGTTAGCGAAGAAGACCGGCCATTTGATAACGCGAAGGAAAGAAATTTCAACTCGAGAACACGAATTTTCAACTCATCTCTCAGAGCTTCTTTTTCCTCCCTTTTTTTTTTAATCCTTTACTCTTTTCCTTCCTTCTCTCTTAATTTTTTTCAGGAGATACCACCAGTTATGCGATTACAGGATCATCGGCGAGTAAAGGATCACGTGATTTTATACCTCGCTTCCCCAAAGAAGGTGATCTTCCTTATCAAATTAGACTTTCTCCCCCGCAGCGCATTCGTCTTGGCAATCGGGGCAAGGACGAGAGCTACCGTTCCCTTAGACCCGGAGGGAACGCATTTTTCTCCCTCTTATCTTTTGCCGCTCTCTTTCTAACGAGACAGACAGTTTGCACGTGCTACTCGGATATCTGACCCCCTAAACGCTTCGAGAGCTCGCCTGCCTCCTTGTGACCTCGAAAAGAGTTTCGCGAGTCGCGAAAATAGACCACCCTAAGCGTACGAACTTGCAACGCGGCGCCGGCCGGTGGAGACGCGAGCAAATTCCGCGGAGCTACAGGGCGAGGATCCTGACGCTCCTTCGGGCGTGATGCGAGTGTGTTAATGAACGCGATAACGCGAGCGAACGAGTGATCTCCCGTAATCCCGCTTAATCGCACTTGGCAAGACGGGAGCTCTAATTTTCCTTCTGACACGAAGATAAACGTTTAATAAGAGGGAGCGAGCATGATCGATGAAAATAAGGAAAGCCACAGTGTTTTATCGATAGCACTAATTCGGCCGTGGAAACGCGTTTCGAGAGCTTTCGAAATAACTCGACGTTGGGCTGAGTGACGTCAAACCTGAAAATCGATACGAGGGCTACCACTATTTTAATAAGTGAAAAGCGGCTCCATCGTCCCGAGTGAATTGGATTAGCGCGTTACTACCAGACAGCATTCGCCGAACAGAGAGAGAGAGAGCTTTCTACCTGCCGCTAGCTGCTGCCTAGCTCGTGGGAAATTTTACTCAGTTGAAATCGTGAGGGTACGTGTAATTCGATTACGCGTATTTCCAGACGCTAAAGTTCTAGACGCAAACAAATCTACCAGTGTCGCGCGCATTTGGAAATTATCAGCTCGTTGATTAATCGTCGCGATATCAGGAATTATTTATGAAGCAACTATCGATCTTGTTTGGCTCTCAATAGAGAACACAGAGAAATAACAATGTGTGTGTGTGTGTGTAAGTTGACAATGCGATTTGTCGATACAGTTTATGTCTTATAATAAGATTTATGTCTTATAATAAGATTCCGAATGCGCGGAACTTGGAGCAACGAACTTGTTTACAATTTGAGTTTGCGCACAGGTAATCAGATTCATTAAAAGTTACACTCACCTTAAAGTTCTCGACTCCTTCGCCGACTTGCTCGATGTCGCCCGCGCACTCCGAACCCATGATGAACGGAGTTTTCGGGGGCGAATCAATCGCTCCTTGTCTGGCCATCAAATCTTGGAAGTTCAAGCCGCTGCAAAGGACAAAAAGAAATATCTCCGTTAAGCGTTGGCGATTAACGTGTATCAAGTTAGGAAAAGTTCCAGCTAAGGAGGTCTGTTAACTCTCCAATGGTAAAGTGAGGTCAGATTGACCCCACATCTTCGTTCATTTTGCAGCGTGCCCGCGCTGTTTCTCTTCTCAAGAAATTTGTTCATATTATTATTATTTCTTTCTTTTACCCATTTTGTATACATCGATTACATGAAAAGTGAACCGATCCCATCTTCCTGGATACGTTAAAAATCCACCTCGCCATTAGAGAGTTAAGCAAGAAACCTGTTAATATTGTTACATGAAAGGACTCATTTTCGAGAAATAAATTCTCTCATCGAACCGTTGGCTGCGCTCCAACTCTGACAAGCAACTTATCGTGGAACAGGTTTAAGAAACAAATCCAAAGCCATGAAATACACATTGCGATAACTCTAATGGGCGTCGACGACGCATCGAAGCGCACCGTCGATGTTTTGAATTTCGACACCCCGCTCGCGTTTATTAGCCGCTGCTGGCAGTATTATAATAATAGCCGTCATTAACCGTCATCAGCGTAACAGCGACGCGAGGTTACACTCGTCGAAAATTACCATTCCCGATCCCGCTACTATGTGTCGCCGAGGGTTTCCTTTCGATCTCAATCTCACGGGACGAATGAACGGATGGACGGTCGGTCGACCGGCTGCTGATGGTTTTCGACGAAACCTAATGCTATAATAACACAAGAGAGGGAGGGGGGGGGGCGTTCTCAATTAAAAAATCCAATGTTTTCACGTTACACCGCGTGTACGCGCGTGAAAGCGGCGTTCGTTCGCCTGGGAGTGACAGGGGGGGCTGAAATAGAACGCCTCACATGGCAACGAGCTCGCATAAATACACGTGTAGTTACCTGCGCCTTGCCTCCCCGTCTACCTACCTGCCTAACAACCGACCCAACTGACATAAGGGTACGAAGGCGAAGGCGCCGCGACGCCTAGACCGATGCCTGGCGTCGCACGCAACGCGCGACGGCACCTCCTCGCCGCCGACCGCGACGTTAGTCATCGACATTGGGAAATATTTACGGCCGTCGCGTCTCCGAGCTGAAAGTTCGTGGCGTTACGTCCGTTCGTTCGTTCGTCTCGACCGGAGCCCGCCGTCTAATTTCGCCGAACTGAAAAAACGGCAATTTGTATGCCGACGCGTCTAGGTGGACTTGTACGCGTGCGACGGCCGGAAAATTCGATGTAACGCTCGGCACAATGGAACAACGTCGGGAGAACGCATTCGATAATAAGTTTAGTGAAATTTCGCAAGCACCACCATGAGGAGAATTCGATGAATTCGACGGGACGGTAATGCAAGAGCGCGTTCACTTCGCCAGCGCGCGCGTTCCATTTATTCCGAGCGAACTCGCGAAAGTGCAATACACTCGGTTTCCGGTTGGTACAGTTTGTTACTGACGCGTATTGAGCCGGGTTGCTAATACTTTATTTCCAATGCACCGCCGTCGCAGAACGCCGTCGGTGCGGTTGCACCATGTTGCGCAGGATCGTGTCGCGAGATACGTCGCATAAATTCTTATCGACTACCGGCGATACACCACGTAATTTCCTAGAGTAACGAGCGCCGGCGATGAATCATTGCGAACTCGATGAAATTTTGTCCAAGGCTGACGAACGTATCGGAAATGCCCGAGCGGACTTTATCGTGTCGCTGTTATTTTTTCATCGCGCTTCGGCGAACGCTCGTTGTTCCCCCCCCCCCCNAGCGCGCGTCGCGCACCTAAATAACCACGAAAGCGAACGAGAGCTACGAAAAGAACCGTAGAAGGAAACAGAGGCGGAATAAATCATTCATCATTTGCGACGACGAATAGGTCGGGCGAATGAATCATCCGATAGAATGAAATGCAGTTTCCTTCAACTTGTCAACCCGCTACGTGTAATTAGATGCGGTCGTGGCTGCAACTGACGCGAACGATAGCTCGCGTATCGCCGATAAACCAACGAAGGAAGTTCGCAGTCCGAGGACGATATACAGTCACAGCAAGCAGGTCCTCGTAACGATATACGTAACGATGTAAATAATGAACACGTCGCGTTGTACTGAAAATTTTATTTCTTCAACTGGCACAAAAATATTTGATACACACATTATGGTGTTGATGATGTAACATTTTTTTTATTTGCGTCTAACCTAATGTATCAATTGTATTTAAATGTAATTCCTGATGTAATTCCTGATTAAGGCACTTTTATCGGTAAAAGTGAGTTCAAAGTGAACTTATGTGGAACAGTGTTTCTCGGTAGGTAAGGTCTAAGCTAGACTGCAGTATCTGAAAAGTTTGACCTCCAGTAGGAATTGCTTTCTTCTCATTTTCATTAAGAAACTAAATATTTTGATCGGAGTAACCAAACAATTCGTTGAACATGCAGTAACCAAATTATTTAATTAGCTCCACCTAATCTGGTTATGACAATTAAATTAATTTTTCCGTGTACTCGTTATCTTCTTAAAAAAAAAAAAAAAAAAACATAAAAATAAAAAAACGTATTCAGAGAATTCTCCCGTCGAAGCCATAGTGCAGGATTGAATGACACCGATGCGACTTCGACAATGGAATTGGAAATAATCCGGCGAGGCGTCGAAGCGCGAGCGAATTCCGATCCGCTTCGCGGGCGCGATAGGAACGACACGCACACTCGCTAAGAGTCTCGAATCCAGATCGATACGTCACATAGATCCGTGCCGGACACGCGCCGGTTTGTTCTTCGCGCTTTTAATAAACGCGATACGTGGAAATCGCGCGACTCGCGCGCATCATTTTACCGAGGCTGGGCCGGATAACCGCACGCGGAGGACGACGAATCGAATCCAGTTGAAACGAGTAGAAACACGGCACGGGATGATTCTATTGCGCGACTTATTGACAGGTACGTGTACACGAGCGTCCGAGGACGCCAATCCGAGTGCCGTTGTTGCGTCCTCGCACGCGCGCGGATTAAACGCGATTCCATTAAATCCCGTCTCCACCGCCGGCGGGATATTCGCGGGGCTGCACGCTTATCCGCGCGTACATGTCGTCCGTTCAAGGCGCGACGTGAGAAAACCTCCCGTCGGGGTTTAAAATTAGCGACGTTAAAAAGCGACGTGAAAACTGCGCGCACGAAAGCAGCAGTCGCGATTGATGCGCCCGCGAGCGTCTCGGTCAAAATGCGGCGGTACAAAATTACGCTGGGTCTTCTTCGCTCATCCCGTCGTGTTACCAAAGTAACACACGACTTCGGTCTGCTCGGTCTAACGTGATTGTAACGCGGATGTAAGTCAGCATTCGCGGATAACGGTGTAATTATCGGGCTGGAGAAACAGCGGACGGAAGAGCAGTTCTGATGTTATCTTAAACGTGAAATGACAGCTCGGCGTAGACGTCGTTTCGTAGAGCACGAAATTCCCGTATGTCGGAACAATGTCTCGTCATGAAGAGCAAGTGCGAATGGCCGTCGTTAGGACGACGTTTAAGCGTCGCTGGGGCGGAACGCCGACGACGTCGCGACCGGCCGGCTGTATCAGCCGCTAATGCAAACTCGTTGAGCGCGACAGTTAAACGTAATAAAGCACAACTGGACGAAAACAAATTCCGACCCACAAAGATAATGCGACGACGGCGGTGGGAGACCGACCAGCTCTCTGATTTAGCATAATGAAATGCCGGCCGCGACGACGCGCCGCGCCGTTTGGTATTGTCGTCGTTTGTTGTTGCCACAGATAACGCGCGTGATTTACAGCCGATCGCGTCACGCGAGACGCTCCCATTCACCGTAAGACACACATTACCGTCCATTACTTTCACAATTTGTCATACTTAGGGTCGTTTCCGCTCCTTCCGCTCCGAGTACGCGCGCCGTCCGGCCCCATGAGCTGCGATCGCCGCGAGAAAAACGGTCCGTTCCGGCCGCCGGCAGAATTTCTGCGTGTCGTCGTTAACCCCCTTCGTCCCTCTCGGGGCACCCGGTCTATGAATGCGTGTATAATACGTAGTAAAGCGAATGATGAGTCAACATAACGTGACGGCGAACAATAACCAGCGATGGGGCGATCGATTATACGTATTGTTATACTTGGAAAAAAAAAGGCGGTAGAACCAATGAAATTTTGATTAAAGGAACCAAATCTTTTCAAAACACAACGTTTGATTTAAGGCTAGAAATTCCCAGCTTCGTCCCTGAAACTTCGAATTTCTAAACTTTCAGCACATTATATTCGAATAATGATATTTTGTAGTATGAAAATTTAAACATTCAGATATTCGAATTATATCGAAGTGTCGAAGTTTCGAATATGTCCAATAGTACTACCCCTAATCCAGTCTATTGAACGAATTACACAACTGCTGTAATGAATTATCAATTGATTCAACGATTGCGATTTGGTCAATAACTATATCAGCGCAACATATTACTGCACTAACGCGTATTTGGTTCAGCGAATACAATAGTCTTTGAACGATGATCGCCATTTTTGTCGACCCGCTTTCTTTTTCGATGTACGATAACGTAGATAACGTACAATTTTAGCGGAAGACAGAAATTTACTAGTTTAACCCCCCAATATCCCTCAACGTCCCTTAATTTGACGTTAACATCATGATCGCGAGAGAACGATGCTGACTCGTAAAATAGATTAGGTAGCTTCCAGCCGAAACTGAGGAAGACATAGCTCCGTTCTCTCGATTCTTGCAAGGATTGCGCCGTGGGAACCGGGGTAACCACCGCTCGATGATTCGGTCTTATTTGGCGGGCCTGAAAAGGCTCGCAGGCACAAGGACAAGGAAAAGGTTCAGGAGTTACAGCGCGCGGTTACTTGCGGGTTGCGATCGCTTAATTCCTTTAAATTGCGTGGAATTGAGGGGAATAATTTTCTCCATTCTTGGCAAGAGAGGCAATTGAACGGGTGGACTGGACGACGTCGACGTCGTCGACGACGACGACGACGACATGCAACGCACCCCAGGGTCACACAAAGTAGCCGGCGCAAGGGACACGCAGAGACACGCAAACATACAAGGTGTCTCCGAGTGACCACCCCCCCATGAATATAAGAAACGACTGAAAAATGTATGCGACGTACGTTGTATTGACATTAATTTATAATCTATCGCTTTTAATAGTTTCAAATGCGTCGCACTTTGCCGCGATATCAAGTTTCACGCGTTGATGCACGCGCTGGGAACATTCTACTTGGTTTATCTACTGTTGACCCTTTACGCTTCTCGGTAGCTTCGCCCTTTCGATTAACGCACCAGTTCTCTTTCTCACATCCATGAACCGTTCGAGGTAAAGAAACTCGAGTCAACGAAGCACGTCACGCGCCAAGAAACATCGTATCCTTGTGATTTCGATAGTTAGGTCGACTCGGCAATTCACAAAGCAGCCGTTCACCGTTAACGTTTTAATGTAAAACGTTGAAGGAACGAATTAGACGGAAACACCCTATATGCAAGCGTAGCGCAGGTAGGAGGACCAGACACCACAGCCGGTCTTTAACCGCACGCTTCCACCGTCGTCACGATCGCGAGAACGCGGGTTATCCGTAGATACATACGAGCATGGCGCACGTCAATCGATCGTCGGGGAAGACATCGAGGCGCCTGCAAAGCTATAACCGCATGACGAAATCAAGTGCACGAATCTCGCGTGACTCGATCAGAGACTAGTGAAAGTGCACGCCGTCGCCGGTATTTTCTATGCGCGCGTGTCGGAAAAACTCGCAGGAAACTCCGCGAATACATACACACACGTGCGCGGACACGACGGTTCGCACGGTTTAGTCGAAATTTTGATGCTACTTTTATCATCTGAATTTCTCGGAGTCTCATTCAAAACGAGTGAAAAGTATCTTTACTCGAAGCGATAGTGAAAATACTGCCACTCGAAATTGCAAGAGTATTCTGCATGTTTCACTTAAGCTTAGAGTGGATTTTGACTCCATACGAGTGAATATTTCAATCGATTAGAGTGGATGTGTTCCTATGACGGTGGAATATATCGGATTTACTCTCAATTTCGAGTGAAATTATTCACTCGACGAGTCCAGAGTGTAGAATTCATTTTGTATGAATGAAAATTCGTCCGACTCCGAGTAACACGATTGTCTAATTTCCGAGTGAAATTTCATTCCAAGAAATTTAGAGAGTAAGATATCAGATTCAAAGTAGGAGTACATAATATTATTAGAGTTGCAACTGAACCTATTCTTAGCTTTTACTGCGTTGTGAAATTGAAGGTCTAACGTAAGACCAAAATTCCAACTCAGGCGAGCAGGTCGATATCAAAGTCGGCGACATCGCCTTATCTCAAGACAGCGCGTGAAACCGCTTTGAGTCATCCTTCCCGCGTCGAAGTATATCTTCGTGAAGACGCGCGTTTCATCTCGTTCCGACGATAGGTGGTGAAAATTGAGGGGGGAGGGGGGACAGGAGATGAATAAACGGCAAGCTCGCATTTAGCTCGCACGAAGCCAAGACGCGAATTGAACGCGTATGAATTATGCAGCGCGGGGTACGAAGGGCTATAAATAGCGACGGAATATTACGCGCGTACGACGCTCTTCGCGCGGTAGTCTCGCGATTTACCTCGCAAAGTCGCGGGGGTGGACGGGCGACCCGCTCCGGTTGCAACGTCAATATCTTCCGCACTGGCGGTGGCGTTTCATTATTCGAGATAAGCCGGACTCTGATTTCATTAACCTAAATCTTCGACGTGGGAGAGCACGGGGAACAACGTGATGCGAGGAGCTTGTAAACAATCACGAGCCGCGGTAAGAACCAAGACGGGAGGCTCGCGCGCGCGTTGCGCCCCGCGATCGCGCGTTCGGACGAGCCAGACTCGCGGACGGAGACCGACGTCGATCGGAATACCGATGGATTAATTACACGTGGAGTGAGCTCGGCGAATCCATCGTCGAGCGAAATTACAGATCGACTTGCGAAACGTCGTACCGTTAGAAGCAGAGGGTGGCGGGGAGGCGTTGTTCGAACGCGGCAGAAATTCCGTTCGCGGGTGAAGCGGCACACGCGACTGCCACAGCCGACAACCGGTCGCCGCTTCGAAAAACAAGAGAGGAAAACGTGGCGAAGGTTAAGTTCACGATCGAAGGGAGTGGAAAAATACGGGAGCGCGAGCACTCGCCCGGCAGAAAATACGATTATTGCGTGCACACGACAGATGACCCGGCGAGCGGCGGAGTTTATCAATTGTTTTCAAACGAATCCGGGGATACCGATACGTGGCAGTTCTTTGTTGCTTTTTATCGTCTTCAGTGAAGGGGAGAGGCCGGTCGCGCTTTTACGACGGCGATCTCTAGGTGGGCGTGCGTGCAAGCCGCGGAGTGGCGACGGATTACTATAGTGTAGACGGTGACTCGCGCGAAACGGATCGCAATCAAGCGGATGTTAACGGTGAAAGAAGGAGAGAGAGAGAAGTTGGACCCAAAGTGGAGGACTGACGTCGGTAAGGAGAGATTAAAGCAAGGATTAGTTACACATGCGAAAATATCAGCTGCGAGATGAGAGATCCGGTGACGCGAATCTACACGGCTGGAGGCGAGAAAAGTTTCCTCATACGCTTCGCATAATCTTCTTCTTCGAGCTTACCTGCCACTTTTTGGTTTCTTAGAGACGTGCCTTTTTACACGTGTGGGAAATTCTTTCGGTTGAGTACATTCAGGGCGTCGAACATACCAATGAAGTTTTAACGCGGAAATATATGTTTGTATAAGGGCAATAATTCATTTCTGTGGAATGCGAAGTACTAGATAAGGCGATGTCAAATAGATTAACCAGACTCGGAACAACTGGCAGCTGAGTTTCTCAACTCAACAAACGTACAGTCGGTATATGTTGCAATATTTCTTTTCGATCAGTTCCGCAACGCACTTCCTGTCCAATAGGAAAATGTATTTCTTGAGAATTACTAAAAAAAACGAATTCTGCTGGAAAGCATTGCGAGACTCATCGAAAAAAAGTGTTGTAACTTTCATTATGCTAACTGTTCATACGTACACGCGATGATCGCGCGGACTTAAAAAAAAATAATATCGAACGGTAAGACAACAGCTGCGGATCCGAATGCCTTGCCGCTATTGTTTTTGTGAGTCACACGAGCCGGCGTGCCTGACGTTCATAACGTAGCGTCGTCGCACATCTGCGCTTGCAAACAGCTTCTCGTGACGGCGCGACGTGCAAAATTCCTCACCGCCGAATTATGCGAATTCTCGCAGTCTCACGTGCGACTCGACCGAAAGAGAGAGAGAGAGACATATGGCTTTTTATACGAATTAATAAAATCTTTCTATCATCCCGATGTGTCATGCGTCGAATGATACAAGCGGGCGTCGTCTTTATGCGTCACGCACAAGAAATCCGCCGGATCCGATGTCACCGGTATGATGAGACGATCCACGGATCAATATACTGGCGATACGCAAGTGCCGGCTGATGCGTCACATTAATTGCGCTTATTGACTGGAAAGGAATGGAAAATATTTCGTAATCTAGACACAGACGATAACCCGGCGCACGAGCGCGCGATTAATCGGCATCTTCGCTCGCAGGACCGATGATATACGCGCGAGGGCGTGTGAGTCATGAATACGCGCGATGAAAAGTTCTGTCACGCGTGCTCGCCAATTGCGACGGTCGCTTTTCTTTTTCCTCCTTAGTGCGTATTTGTTTTTCTCTCGTTAACCAGTGACTCGCTGCGCTATCGAACGTTACCGCGCGACATCGTCATCGTCATGTGCCGACCTCCCCCCATCGTGGCTAATAATACGCGCATTTTGTCGTCTATTTGTTCTACACGAAATCGCACGCGCCATTGCAAATATGCGAGCGAAACGATCGTCGGATACGGGCGAGTTTCGCAACGGAAGCGGGAGAAATCCGTGCGGAGAAACGCGAAAACCGACGCGGGCGCGCGGCTCGAAACCGCGCCTTCCCTCGATCGATGTGAATTTGCAACGCGCACGAATGTATCTCGCGATTCTTAAAAGTCGCTCGACGTTCAAGATACGTCACCCGGTAGAAATTGAACTTCGGATGTCTTGCCACGAGGTGGTAAATTTGTGTTTAACATCGCCACCAGCCAGTAATGTAACGTTCATTTCTCTTAGCGACTAGATAATGATTAGATAAACGAGTTAGCTGATGGTTAAACAAACGAAGTTACAGTTACGAGAAGAAAAATCGTAATTAGTTGCCAATTAGTGATATAACGCTCGCTTCTGCTTTTTTAAGATTTTTATGGAACAACGCACCTTCGATTTTGATTTACCACTGCATTTTTAAATACCAATGATATATATATATATATAGTAGTTAGATTATATATTTTAGAATAGATAGCGTCATCTACTTTATTATATTTGATATGTGATGGCAAGACAACAGTCAGATCACAAAACCGATTTTACATTTTACATGAATAATCAGCCAGTAACAAACTAGAATATTTAATTTAGCCTGTACTAGTTAGCTACTAGCTTTTAACTTGGGCTGCTTAGATACATTTCTACTCGGATCGTTTCACGAGGCGAGTGGGAATCGGGAGATTAATTAGTCGTGTCGTAAAGCCGCGTCGATGTAAACGGCGATACGACGGGCGTGACTAGTCTTCGAGTTTCGAACGAAGCATTATTTTTTCTGGATCGATGTAAGAACGGCGTGTATTACGAACGGCAATTTCGCGTGATTCACCCGACGGTACGTACGCACCGATAGATCTATGGGATGTCCGTATTGATCGAACCACACCCGTATTTCCTACACCCTCTACTCTCCTCCCTTCCTCCCTCCCACCCCGCACGCACGCGGATGTCAACGTAAATGCGTGCGCACAGAATCGACGTAATCGTCTATAACCGAAAAAATTCGAGTCGCACATAGATTTATTCGCGATTGAAAATCGCACGGACGTGAGATGCACAAGACACGTTGTTCCCTCTCCCCGATGAATCTGCAAATATGGCAAGTTCGCGCGGAAACGGAGTGTAAAATTAATAATAAGGAGAAGTACCGGTTGACCCGCTCTGAAGATTTCTTCAACCGTCCCCGGCACGATCGTTGAACGGATTGCCAATAATACACGAGTGCGTTTCACGTCCGCACTTCAAGTCTGGACCTGACACGTTGATAGCTGATGCAAGAGGCACTTGTACACTTTACGATTTTCCCGCGAATGTCATTACCTCGTAACGTCATTTAAGTCGGTGCTCGGGATAAATGTGGCGTGGAGAACCAAAGTGAAAAAGAACGATAAAGGAGGTAAAGGAAATTCGGAGAATCGATAAAATTCACAGAACTGAGAAACGTTATCGTAACGCGGTATTGGCATGAGTGAGTCTTCGGGTATTCGAAAACCCAAAGAGGAATCCTGGGTAAAACTTGAGATTCCAAGAGCCCGAGAATCTGAAAAGCCAAGGACTCAGACTGGTATCGCAGGACTTAAAAATTCAAGGACCCCAGGAACTCAGACCCGCGAGAATCCCGCGCGTCGCGCGTGGAAAAAGTCGCGAATAATTCTCCTCTCCCCCGATAACGTGGCGATTATATGTAATGTATGCGCGAATTAAGTCTACATACGCCTCGTCTATGCATAAATAGACACGCTGCCGGCGATTCATATGGGTACGATATATAACGGCGTGGAAATTCCGGGCGTATTCGGAATTTATGCGGCAAAAGCTCGCGCGTTTTCGTCCGGAGCGCGTTTAATGAAAGACGCCATTGTATCTGTCCCGTCGAGTTTATCATGCTAATGAGGTCTTAATATCGCGTTATGGGAAACTTTGAACGGATACCATTCAGTGGACGCGCGCGATACACACCGCGCGCGCACCGCGATCTCCCGTCCCGTTCGCTCTCTTTCTCCCGTGCTTTAAGGCGTTTCCAACACTCGCCTTTCATCGAGCACGCTTTTTTTTCTTCCTCTTTCCCTCTCTTTCTCTCTCTCCTACCGTTTCCAATTTCTTACAGAGACGCCTTGGAAAGAGGGGTACTCGCGAGACATAAAAAGAGGTTACGGGATACCGGGTGAACTGGTGAAACGATACCGTATTTATTCGCCCTCGTTGCTTGTCGGAGGAGAAAAAAGAAGAAAGGAAGAAGAAAGAGCGATCGAATAAACGAGAGGATACATGTTATCTTATGTGCTCGGACTTGCGTTTAAGTTTAGTCCGAAGGATCGGGACGTATTCTCTCTCTCTCTCTCTCTCTCTCTCACACACTCACTCTCTCTCGGTCCCCCTTTTACGCTCTACCTCTCCCTCATCCATCCGCCCTCACGTTGTGTTGTGTCAAAGGTATCTATTATATACAGAATAAGGCGGTTCGTTGGAACCACTGCGGCTTTGCGCTACCGGTTTCTCCGCCGACACGAACGCAAGAATTGTTTTATTCAGGAGCAATCGCCCGTTTCCGTCGGCGAGTGTAAATTCTGCGCGAGTAATCAAGAGAGGGAAGATACGCAAAAAAAGCAGCCCCGGCGCGCGGTCATTTTCCGTACAAACGAATCGTGGAACGAGCGCGAGGTCGAAGTCGATTTCCCTTTGGTGCGACTTGAATTTTCCCAACGAGTCGACGAATTGAACTCCCACTGAGAAGCCCCTCGGCGCGTCGTCACGGTCGAATTTATCGCCCGAGGTTCTCGCAGGAATTTACTTACCTTCGGCGTGTGACTTTCATTGTCGGGCGGTCTAGCTTAAAAGTCGCCTTCGCGATAAGATCAAAAGAGAAAACGCAACGAAGGACGATACATGCGGTGATTGAAAAGGAAATGAAAGAACAAAAATACGCTCTCATTTGGAGCGTCCCGGCGATGCGCACGCTTTTAATGCTGTTCCCACTTTCGAACGCGACATCTTAAATTCGACGTTTCCTGCGACGAATAACCCTTTCACCACAAAGGGCCGTGTGTGTACGCCCAAGTGGAGCTCACGCTCACATGCGAGGCGCGTAAATGCACGCTCGACTAAAATGGAGAGCCTCGGGTCGCGACGGCAAAGACAAATTTGGCGAGGGAACGGTTGCGAGGGAAGGATTGCGCTCCGATGAGTGCGCCATTGTTTATGCAATTATGACAAAAGCCAGGCGGTAAACGTAAATTCAGCAAGCTGAAAGCGCTCTGTCTGCGCAAGTACCTACGCCCCTTCGAATCCAATTAGAAATTTGCGTCTTATCGGGCGGTTTCGCGTCTCCTTCTCTGATCTCGACGGAGGGATCTTCACTCGAAGGAGGACTGTTAACCCCGACGTTCACGAATTTGTTGCTAACTCGTGCAGTAGCGTCGCCGTCGAAACGATTATTTAGCCGTGTCTGTCCCGCGGAACGCGCGTGTGCGCACGGCTTAACGAATGTCTGCAGCGGGGCAGACAAATTTATTCGTGCCGGCATTGGCAGCGTGATATCTTTCTATGGGGGCTATTTTCTCATCAATCCCAATAGCTTTTATAAAACGTGACTCACGCGTGAAAAGGTCCGCGCGCCTTTGGCGAATCCGACGTTCGCAATCTGCACCGTGTTTCGTCTCATGTGCGCGAGAGACGGTCGCCTCTGCCTATGGCTATGTTCGAGATAAAGTCGGCTCTTTCTTTCTCATGGGATGCACACGGTGCAAACGACCCGTGAAAGTCGCGATATTCGTTTTTCTCCTCTCTTCGTATCTGTCCGCTCGCGTTCTTTTTGTTGCGCCGCGACGCGCACTTAATAAATAGCCGGTCGAGAGCGTCGTGATTTATGAAGCGGCGGCGACGCCCGAGTTTCGGAAATTGATTAATCGATTGCTGATTTGAGGCCGTCGCGGGAGCACGAGCGGATGGACGTTTAAAGGCGGAACCGAAATTGCGAATTCCACGGTCGGCTCGGGCGTTAACGAATCGCTATCGGCACACGATTGTTTTCCGCCGCGCGAGTTTCAATGACACGAGTGTATCTCGCGAGAGATTAGCGAGCGTCGCTTTTTAATCGCCGGCTGGTTCGGACTGTTTATCGTCGCGGGCGATTAACAGCGTTGCTCGGCGCAAGAGAGAAACGCGAGCTCGGTACATTCGTGTTGGCCAAGTTTTCATCGTACGATCATTCCTAGCCGGCCAGACAACGTGGATAAGCTGGCTCATTCGTTTTCCTTAATTCCGCTAATTAGTCGGTCTCTATTACAACCCGCATACCAGCGCAAGGAACACGTCGTTTGTCGCGGTGGGAAAGTAGAAGAAAGCTGAACATTTTCGAGAATTGACGTTGATAGAGCTCGACAATGGAACGGAAGTTGTATCATTCTCTCGACGCTGATCCTCCCGACTCGCCCGTGTCTCTGTGATATAAAGCAACGCGTGTACCAAAATGTGCATCGCGGAGGAGGGTTAACCACGACGTGCCGCACCCTGCACGTATTTCCGTTGAGAGCGAAAGAGAGAGAGAGGGAAAGAGTCCCTACGAAGGTCGATATACTCGCCGCTCGTTTAACTCCGAATACGACTCTCCGATCCGGAGTTTTATTTACGCGCCAGGGTCGAATGCGCGATAGAAGAACGTGAGGAGTCCGTGAGAATATAAAAAGAAATCAAATCCGACGTATATATACGAGCATCTCTATTCGTACGCGCATCTGAGGCAGCGTGTACGAGTGTTCTTTCGCGTCCTTTTCATTCGACGATCAGAATAATCGAATATCGTGAGAAAGATGCCGCGAGGTGACACCGCTGTGTTTTAAATGGAAAACGCAGCGCTTGTTGCGCTCGCAGGCGACTTTCGCTGGCGCTGGACGCGCTCAGGATAATATAATGTGGACCGCAGCTTCCGGGGCGGCTTGCTCGCGCGATTCGGAGCGAGTCGACGCGAAAGGAGGAGATTGGATTTATAAAAACCACTCACCAGGCTTTGACTCGTATGAGGACCTCTCCCTCGCCGAGGGTGGGTTCCGGCTTCCTCAGGGCCTTGACACTTTTCAGACCGCCGAAACCGTTGAGCACGATCGCCCGCATGTCCTTCGGCTCCGGCGTGGGCTTCTCCTCGCCGTTCTCCTTCGGCTTCTCGCCGTCGCCATTCTCCTCGACTTTCTTCTCGTCCTCCTTGCACTCCTTCGTCGGCTCTTCCTTGTCCGGCTTGGCCGGCGGTGACGCCGCCGTCGTTTCCTGCGGCGGCTTCTCGCCCTCGGCGCTCGGGCTGGTCTCGTTCTTGTCCTCTGCCATCTTTACGCCGTCCTCCTCTCAGACGCTCTGAAACTCTCGGGGCCGAGCTTTCGCGACGTCCTTTACCGCGAGACTGAGGTACCCCGGATGCCGCGGCGGGGATACGTCAAGAAAGGGAGCGTGCGTCGTGCGTTTACCGTCCGCGTCCGGCGGAGCGACAGACGGAGGAGGCGGAGAGACGAAGAGAGAAGGAGAAGAAGACAGAGAGAAGAAGAAAGAGAGAGAGAGAGAGAGAAGAGAGAAAGAGAGAAAGGAGGGGGAGAAAGTGCCCGTGTGAGTAATCTCCCACGGCTTCGCACGGGTATACAGTTTACGATCGCCGCGTACGCACTCCACGGAAGCCGCCGTCGTTCTGCTCTGAAATTCTGCGCCACTGTGTGCCGAGAGAGCCGCTCTCTGCTCCGTTTGTGCCGGCCGGTAACGCGCGCGCGGTGTTGCCGTTGCTTAGCAACCGCGCGCCCCTGCCGTTCGGCCAATCGCACGGATTCCCCGCCGTCATTTGCCACGTTCGCTCGCACCGTGTCGGACGCGCGCGCAGCCCGGCAGGTGCCGCGCCGGCGGGTCGCCGCCGCACGACGATTCTCTTCGCCCCGGCGAAGTAGTCCCCCGCCTAGTCCTATCACCCTCTTTTCCCCACCCGCGCCCGTACGGCGGATATCTCGCGTACTATAACCTAAAAATTTGAAAATACCGACTCTCTCTCTCTCTCTCTCTCAGCCGGCTGCGTGCTTCGAGCCGGGCTATCGATCCCGGCCGCGCGATGGATGTACGCTCGATGCCGCGCGCTCTCCGTAATTACAAATTGCGCGGAGCGATATTGCGAAGCGCGAGGAGGCGCCGTCCGATCTTGATGACGCGACCATGTAATTGTTCCTATGAATAATCGAAGGAAAGGGGAGAACGCGGAGTGTGTGTGTGTGTGTGTGGGGTTCCGCCGCGCGACGCGACGCGACGCTCGAGGATTCGAGTCTCTTTCTTTCCTCGGGCTCGGATCGCGAGCGGAATACTCCGAAGGGCTCCTCCTTAATGAGTTTTTACAGCGGCTGTGACTCTTTCGGCGGACCGGCTCGACGTTGCAATTTTGGGCGTGACGCGGGGAGGGGGGGGGGCGCAGCCACCGTGCATTCTCCCTTTTCCCGGGGACGTTCGGAGATTTCGAAGCGAAACAAATTCAGATAACAACTTAGCGATAAGATCCCGGCAATCGAAAGATAACGCGACAATTTATTCGTCAGCCGATCCTATCTGGAATTTTTGACGGGGTTGAGAGATGACGTGGAAAATACAATAACGGCGGAATCTGGGGAGGATACGCCTTTATCGTATGAATCATTGTCGTGGATGCATCAAGAAAAATCCCCCCCCCCCCTTATCGACGGGCTTTTACGTCTTCGAGGATACACGTCGTACGAGCAAGTCGGTTACTTTTTATTCGCCGAACGAACGAAACGCGTAGACATCCTCCTCCCTTCCGCGCGCGTATCGTCCGAATAAATCGCTCGATAAATTATCCCGACGAAGGGATGAGAGTTCGCGATGCGACGCCTTCGCGAAATTGCTCTCTCCGCGCGCTCTCATCTATATCGAAATATTTCGTATCAATTAATTCCGATCGTGCGTCGCAACGGCGGCGATTACGGGCGCGCTCGTCGCAGAGGAGGAACGCAAGTCACCGGCGAAATGGGCGAATTCCTGCATTCACTCGTGCGACGAAACGGCGAATCGCTCGCTCGATCGCCCGGCCTCGCTGTGCGCCTCCTCTCGGCCCTGAAAATTCGCTCTCATCCTTCGTCCGGCGTCGTGTCTCCTCTCGACGAGTGTGGCGGCCGCGAAAGTAGTGCCCAGCAGACGACGCCCGAAACGCAACGCGCGTGTATCCCTACGCCCGACGCCGGCGGCGCGCGTGTGCGTGGGCACTACGTGCACGCGCGCGCACGCGTGCGCTCGCGCGTCCTGCGTCGTTCTGCTCGATTCGCGAAAAACACCAAGAGCCGAAACGCCGCCGAAATCCTGCCGCTTTCGTTCTCCCGCACCCTCTTCCTTCGAATCCGTAACAGGTAACCTCTCTCCTCACTCCCCCGCGCGAATCGACTGCATTTTTTACAGGGCTGTTGTGTGCGCGCGTTTAAGCGACGGCGAAGGAGTCGAAATTATTCTGTCGCGGTCTGGCAACATTGTGCCTGTAGCCGTTGCCGCCGCCGCCGTCGCCGCTGCTCGCTATACACTACATTGTATCCTACGGTGGTAATGCAATTTTCGACGAACTTCGTTATAAGCCTGTTAGGTCGATCTTCGACGCTTATCAGCGGCTTAATTCTGCGTAACGGCGCGGGTAACGCGATCGAAGTGGGTTAAAGGAGGGCCAGGACGCGCGCGCACACAGCGCGTATTTTAGAATTGTAAACGCAAGGCGAATTGACGCGGGCGGATGTGTGTGCGTGCGGGCGGCGTTCGAGCCATTCGGCACGGCGAATTGACGGCCGCTCGTTTACGCGCGTTCATCCTGCGACAATGAACGTCGCAATGCTCGGGGGGGAACGCGCGCGGGGCTGAATTCGCGAAACAATTGGACCGGGTAATGAGAATCATGCCCGAGCGCAATGAGGATGTGCTGATTGGCACGAATGGCTCATATTGTCGGGAGGGCGAAAAGCGCCCAGAGAGCTTTTCTATCGGGGTCTACGCTCAAGCGGCGTGCGCCCGTGCGATAAGAGACCTGTTCGCTTTAAGGTTATACGCTGAGCGAATGTGCAACGTGCGAACGTGTATATTCGTGTCTAAACGCGCACGAACTTTGTTTGATAAACCGCCTTATGAGTAAATCTCTGTGATATCTTGACATCTTTCCCAGATATCTCTGTGATATATTTTGGTGTGTAGGCCATTACAGAGATAAGTCACGCATTCCACCAAATCCACCTTCGTACTTCGTAACAGAGCGAACATAATGACGTCTTTGATGTTATTAATACGTTATTAATTATTATGTCACTTGACGTCGTTAATACGTCATTATGTTTCCCGGGAACCTTTTTATATTAGGTTAAGTATGACAGCACAGTGAGATTTATCGATTAGTCTTTGTTCGGCAGTGCGCCAAAGTAAACCGTCGCGAATGAGTTTTTAAAGAGTGGAGAAAACTGAGATGCGGGCGGTGATAAAGTACTTTTATTTAAATGGTTCAACACCAACCGAAATCAAAGCAGAGCCGGACTCGACGCTTTCCGGTCTGCTCTTTTGTTTTCAACGGTTAAGAACTGGGTCGAGTTTAAGCACGGTCGTGTGAACACAAATGACGAACCGCGCGTCAGAACCGGGAAAAATGGCCGTTACGGAGGAAATGATTGAAAATGTAAAGGCAAAAAGTGCAATCTAATCGGATGAAAACGAATAAACTTAATATCGCTTTTCCGGTGCACTCTCGGTGCACTCACACACACACAAACATACACCTCGGAAATCTCAATCGAGCGTTGATTCCCCGACGCGAGGCAAATCGACGAATCAAACGGCTCGGCGGCGAGTCTCGCGCCTGAGACACCGTTCTTCTCGCGATCCTAGGAAGTTACACGACTTGCGTGCACGTGTGTCCTTCCTCTGTCCCGAATCCCTCCTCTCGTATATATTCCGCGTAAGTTCGTCATATGCCCTGTATAATTCAGCACGCGCTAGAAGCCTCCTATAATTTTCCGCGAAATTAGCGTGCGGGCTGAGTGCTTTGCGAGGCGCACACGTACACCAGTCATCGGCGTTAATTGATCTTTTACGGTGAATTCGACGGTCGCGCGGCCGCTTTTGCAGAACGCGAACAATGAACGATGTAGTTAAAGCATCGCCCCGTTGTTCCGTACGTACGGATCGTATTGCATCGTGCGTAAGTTCGATTAATAATGAACGTGCAGCGCGACGCGACAATTTGAAAACGCGTATACCTGGCGACATTCACCTGGTGTAGTTGCCCACCTGTGCCGCGCGACCGTGAATTCGCACGATCGTAGCTGCGATTCTCTCGCTTAGGGCCACTCGTATCAATGAGGACTTGACTTCACAGCAATCTTAACGCCTGTCCAGACAAACCTGCACAAACGTAATCTGTACGGTAAAAGGGTGTTCTACGTAGTTTTTAATTAAAATATATTTATGTTATATTTAAGAATAATTTTCATGAATTGAGGGGAAAAAATATTGGATAAAATGAACGATATCTTCAAACTAAGAGCTACAATACATCAGTTCGACGATATCTTTCTTTTTATGCGATATTTTTTCCTCTCAATTCATAAAAATTATTCTCGACGCGATGTAAAAGTGCGTGAAGTGTTTTTTCGACTCAGTTTTACGCTTCAAGTTCAAGCTGCGACTACGCGGGCACGCGACCTACGTTACGTTGGTCAGTATTCGCACAAGTGGATGGATAGATCGCACAATTAATGGGCGAGATAACGATGGCCACGGCGATGGCGGCTGCCGTTCTATTCTGCTAAATGCGTTATCGCTTCCGTAACAAGCCTTTTATTGTCAGGTCTCAACAATTTCGTTATCGGTCGCAACAATAACATACCGTGATTGCCGACGCGATACGACTCGTGGCAAACATCGTTTTACCAGCGTTACTTCTCTCTTATCGTTCATCGATATGCAAAAAACCGCGACCTTTGAACCGTAAGATTCCCCGCGATCTTCGAGACAAGGAAGCGTATCTCTCGTCGGTGAGGCGATACGAGGGCGCATCGCGTCGCCGATTCAGAGCCAAACGTTCTGAGCAGTTCCGATTGATGAAATCGCTCGAGAAGAATCGTTTGGAGGAACTCCTGGTGCCCTTAGGTCGAAGCAGGAAACGCAACGCGCGGTTCCCACGCGTGCTAATTCGCTTATTGCGAGTCCGCAAGCCCGACGGCAGGTTATGTCACTCGCTGATGCGCTCCAGATTCGAAATCCGCGTTGCATCCGGTCTGATTAACGCTTCGGACGGGCCATCCAACGGGGTTGCCATTAGTTAATCCAGTCCGCCGGTACTACAGACTCGACGAGACGGACGGTTCGTGCTGACGAACAAACTGTGCCTCCTACGCCTGCAATTGTTCCTTCCTTCCGCCAAGTTTCGCATACGAGCGCACACGTGCTCGGTATCTCCTTCAGTACAGTTTCGTGATCTCGATATTTCGTTCAAATCGAACCTCGCTGTGCCAAAATATTTGCCCATCGTGACTCAAAGTTGTGTTTAACTACTTTGACAGCCGCAAGTGTCCTCATAATTAAAGATAAGATCAAACGGTAAATAATACGCGTGCGAATCATATATATAATTCGACGTACAGTCGGCATAATAAAGTTGCAAACGCTATTTTTCGATGAGCTTTGCAACGCTTTCGGCTCTTACGTTCGTATCGGTTAATAGAAGGATTCGTTTTTTTTAGTAATTCTCAAGAAATACATTTTCCTATTGGATACGAAGTACGTAGCGAAATTCGTCGGAAAATAAAGTGTTGCGACTTTTATTACGCCGGCTGTACATCGAATTAATTAATAGGAAACTTATCTTGGGCCTTCTCGATCGACGATCACGACGCTCGAGTACCCGGGCATCACTGACGTCGAACGTACTCGTTTTCCGAGAAGGTACAGAAAGCGTGATACGGTGCAGTTAAAAGGAACAGTGCTCCGGTGTTATCGATTTGCTGTCCCTTTTTGGAACGCAACTCCACCTGCAATATGAACGGTGAAGGAGCATTGACTCGACCAAGGTCAGCCCTATTAAACGTCGATTAAAAGCCGACCTTATCGATGATCGAGAGTCAAAAAACCGATGTTGTGGATGGGAAGAACACGGCTCTTGAGAAACTAAATTTTGGATAACCGGACAGGTATTATAAATAAAAAGAAATAATAAAAGAAGCAGATAATCGATAAATGACATTGGAATAATAGTCTTAGACACTTGGAATCAGTATTGAGAGAGACAGATAAAGAGAAAGAGAGAGAGAGAGAAGATTAGAGAAAAAGGTGCGATGTGTTATTCCAGTAGCGATTTTCAAACCACTTCGTTGTAATTACGCCGAACTGATCTGTGGATCGTCACGAAGCCGATCTGCGGTAAAGTGAAGCAACGGCTTACGGAAAGATAACGCACGCGTGTTCGTTCCGCGTTCGACGACACGCTCCAGAAATCTAGTCGTACACGCTCGCGATATCAGCTGATTTCTGCCCTCTCTCCTCCCCGTCGCCACAGCGACACTCCGTTCGTCGCAGTCGCCGCGCACTCATCGAAGCTGATCAGAGCGCGCAGGTGAGCGCTCCTACTAGATAGATAATAATATCACTCGCGTTGTCTTTTCGCATTGTCAACAAAGTATCTGTCGGGACGAAAGAAAGGAACCGTTGTCGGTCCACGATATCACCGTCACTCTCATGGCAGATCATGAAATCGTTCAGGCAAAAAGGTAAGAAAATCCTGTGGATCGTCGATCCGTAATTATCTGCGCGACGACGATTTCGTCGTCGATTAGCCGATTCGCGCCTTTCCTGTATGAATCGCGATTGTCGCGCAGTCATCGAGGTTACGTCACGTGTAAAAATCGTCGTATGTGTCTACGAGGTTTGCACGCGTTCGTTATGTTCGTCCGGACGAGATATCGTCACAGAAAGCGCCAAAATATCGTCACAGAAAGCGGAAATCGGTCGGACGGTGGCTGAATACACGCAAACTCGTTAATGATCGATCGATCGTGAATCGCGATTAAGGGATTCGGCTTATTCGCGAATCAAGACCGTTTCATTACTCGATGATCGTTCCTCGTGATTCACGTAATGCCAAGTGCAACGGAGATAGTGAGAGCGCGGTTGGACGAGCGGTAATTGGATGTCTGTATGATATAACGGCTATTAATACCTATAGAGTACGTATTTAAGTGAACGTAGAAGTATGACTTGACAAGTTTCATATAACCCAACACGTCATCTCGTGCACGTTACTTCTGTCAATAGAAATTGTATTGAGTGAAACTGAAACTTCACTCTCTCTCTTTGACGATACTGAAGAAATAATCTTTTGTCACACAACAGTAGTTGGCTCTGGGGATGGTTTAGCTGGTCAGTGGCATCTTCAACCATGTTACGTACGGCGGAGAAGAAAATCTTGTCATGTATGTGAGATCAGTGATCAATCAGTTGAATTTAGATTGACCAAGATTTGTATTCATATGCTGAATGATATAACATAGGCCTGAAGACAGCTTACAGAGGATGGTATGTCGATGTTGGACCAGTGGTAGGCACAGCAGACAAAATATGGACTATTTCATTGAACGAAGAGTCGTCTAAAACTCCGATTGTTCTATTGCATGGTTTAGGATCCGGAGTAGCATTGTGGTGTTTAAATTTGGATGCGCTAGCAATTCATAGACCGGTATATGCCATAGACTTACTAGGTAAGAGATACATGTTCAAGATAAATTAGAATAACCAGTATTTTATATGTGTGATGCCACTCTAATTTACGTAATTTGTAATTACAGTATTAATGCTATGTAATTCTATATTCTATATTTCTATATTCTATATTTCAATGTTCTGTCTGTTTTTGTGATTATCCACTTAAGCACATGACTCATGTCAACATGACTGATGTCAACATGACTAATGTCAACATGACTAATTACTTGAACTTTGTAATCAAACACAAGTGTATCTGGCTTCATATATGAATTTGACATTTTTACACCGTAATCCTGATTATTGCGGAATAATGATGCAAGACTTGTATTTGAATGTAATAGATTTCTTATGAGACTTCTGTCTCTTTGCAAATAAATCTTTGTATTGTGTATATATACCTATATGTGCGTGTATTAATAATTTAATCTGAATTATTTTGTTTTCAGGATTTGGCAGAAGTAGTAGGCCCACTTTTAGCAATGAAGCAGAGGAAGCTGAGAAACAGCTTGTACGTTCGGTAGAGGAATGGAGAAGAGAGATGCAATTAGAGGAATTTATATTACTGGGCCATTCAATGGGCGGCTTTCTTGCTGCATCTTATGCTATGCATCATCCTCAAAGAGTTAAACACCTCATACTGGCTGATCCATGGGGTTTCCCGGAAAAACCATCCGATGCTGCTGCAAGAATGCACCTACCATTCTGGGTAAAAGCTATAGCATTTGCGGTACAGCCTTTAAATCCTCTGTGGGCAGTCAGACTCGCCGGACCATTTGGTCAGTATAGCTGTGTGTGTATATATACACATTGATTATATATGTATTTCGTTTGTGTTACCAAATTAAAATATTTATTACAGGACAATGGCTCATTGAAAAAACAAGACCGGATATAGTAAAGAAGTTCTCTCCCATGTTGGACGATACTAGTGTGATTTCGCAATATATACATCAATGCAACGCGCAAACACCGACGTAAGTTTTAAAAGTTGAACATCTCATAATATAATTCTTATACCATTACATTTGTTACATGATTTACAGCGGGGAAAGCGCATTTCACGCTATGATGCAAGGTTTCGGGTGGGCCAAAAATCCTATCGTCAAACGAATGCACAAATTAAGCAATGATATACCCATAACTCTACTTTACGGCAGTAGATCGTGGGTTGACAATACAACCGGCGAAACGATCAAGGAGACTCGACCATCATCGTATGTTAACGTTCAAGTACGTGAATTGAGTAACTATCGTATAAAAAGAATCCACTATAGTCCTTTAAAAAAACAAAACAATTAAACAAAACAATTATGTTATAGGTGATTACTGGTGCTGGTCATCATGTTTATGCGGATAGAAGTGAGACCTTTAACAAATATGTATCGGAAGCATGTGCTCTAACCGATTCGACACCTCAATTAAGATCGTCGAACGTACGTTCGTACCCGAAAGCCATAAGCAATCAGGAGATAGATGCAGTTCTCAACGAGGCGCTTGAAGCACGAAGACCAGGGGAACAAGATCTAGAAACATCTAGACCAAGATCTAGTTGAAATCTAGTGTGAGATATTTTTATGAGACAGAAGGTTGTGATTCTGTTGGTTGGTACAAAAGAAGTGACACACCTTACGTATGTATTAAAATATAGTCGAGGATTCTGTGCGATACATTAAATATATACTAAATAGATACGCGTTTTAAATTCTGCGTTTATATCACAACGCAGTGTAAGATGTATAATCTAGTAACATACAAATGACAGACGCTGATTTTATGTGATAATTGTGATTATAGATTAATATACCATAGGATTACCAAGTTATTTTGTTTCAAATCTTGGAAACTATAATATGATATATTTCACTGCAAATGCGCGAAAAGTATTAGAGGAATAGAATGTGATCTTGCCATAATTGAGACCTATTGTTATTCTTTATAATTGTCATTTACTATACAATTAGCTAATGTTATAAAGAAATTTAAAGAAATCGGCGCTCTTATTCTGCAACTTTCGACGTATGCGTTACAAATCTGCACAGACAAGATATATTACAAAGTAGCTTCAACAACAATACGTTAACGATAACGAAATTTTTGTTACAAGTTACAGAATAAGGGAGCAAAAATCAAGAGCTTTTACGAAGTGCAAAATAATCCTATAATGTGTATATATATAGTTTTAATTTTATTAATACAAACTGAATTCAGAAACTAGCGATTTCAATATTTTTGTTAATAGTTGGTTTTGTCATACAAACCCGCGTGCGAACGCGCGCGCACACCAATGCAAAAACTCATGTATATTGTTTCTCTCAATGTAATTTACTAATAATTATTTATTATACATACGTGTGTGTGTGTATATATATGTATAAATATATATATATAAAATGAGCTTCTTAGTATTATATTTACATTGAACAATAAATTCGTTTCGAAAGAAAAACCTTTTTATGATTTACTTCTCATCTTCGAAGTCATCATAGTATTCATCTTCGAAATTGTATTTCTCGTTATAATTTTCTTCATGATCCATTTCTTCTTCAGAACAGTCCAATAATTGCTGATTGGGCAATTGTTTCATACGATATTTGTGTCTTGCCTCTTTCCGTCTTTTGTCCAAAAATTCCTTGAAGAGCTCTTTTTCCTCGTTCTTTGTCAAAAAGTCCGCAACTTTGTCAGAAGTGTCATTGCATGGACTGTTATCTGTGTCAATATTCATATTCAACATACGTCTTTCTATAGCTTTTTTCGATTTAGACATTGAAACAATGATCTGTAACAAAAAGAAATATTTAAAAGTATTTTTCATGCTTTTATTTCTTGATTTGATAAGATTAAGCATAAGACAAAGAGATTACCTGAGTCATCATTTTATGATGATCTAGTCCTAATACATCATGCCTCATCATTGGTAATTCTATGTGAGGTTCATCTGATTCAGGATTATCATTCACAACTGATATTTTGTGCGAAGCCTGATTAATATGTGAATTAGCTAATTCCATTTGTTCGGAAAACGACAAAATTTCAAGATTTTCAATATCAGATTCTATTATCGCTAATTTTTTTTCTACTTCATCTTTTATCATTTGCTGCCGATTTGCCACAAATTGTATAGGAGGCACCACACCTATAACTCGAAGCTGTGATAATTCATGCCGAATAATCTTAGCACACTTTTTTAATGATTCTTCGCTAATAGGTATATCAGTATGATTCCAAAATATATTGACGTGTTTGAAATCAGGAGTTATCTCCACATGAGTAATTTCTATGGCTCCATTAATAATATCGGACGCTTCTCCCATTGCTATTTGGTCCGTTATGTGTTCCATGAAAAGTTTATTTCGAATAGTCATTCTGCGTTTCGTGTGCATAGATGGTAACCTGATGGTTGGACCAGACACATTCTTGGTGTCACGAAAATTTGTGCCTAGTTTGTACCAATTTCTGTAAAGTGATAACACAAGGATATTCAATAAGAAAGTTGTAATTTTTCACACTTTCCTCGAGAGAAACCTATCTTACCTATTCGACTTACTACTTTTCTCCAACATTTTCTTCATAAATTTACCTTCTCTCGCGAAATTAGAATTTACGTTGGACGAACTGATACATCTATATATTTGGAGATGTGTGAAAAGAGGACGTGCGCTTTGCATTTTGAAAAATATTAATTTCAATAATATCTCTTCAATATTGTTGATATCACAAAATACCACATAGAGGTTAATAAGAATGTGCGAGGAAGTGCAAAGTGCAACTCAATTGCCCTTTTCACTGAACTTTCTGCATTAATGTAGATATACACTAAAACTTTTTTTTTTCAGCAAGAAGATTAAAGAAATTCTAATCTTAAGTGTTAGTGAAAAATATAAGCATAATATATATATGTATACATACAAAATATAAGATCTGTTCGTTTTCGCTGCACCGCTAAACTAGTACAATAAGTTGAAGCGAGACAAGTATATGTTTTCTCACTTCAACTTATTGCTGTAGTTCAACGGTGCAGCGAAAACGAACAGACCTAATACTTGTTTTCGTTCTGGATTGCTTGCTGGATAGAAATACTGTGTTCTGATGGGTGCATTTCCATAGCTACGTAATGTAATGTAATTTTGCAGATTGAAGATATCGACTTGCTTTTAAAATTATCTTAAAATAATATCAATGAAACGACTTTCCTTTCGGAGCAACCAGAACAATATGATACGGGCTTATGGATGTCCACAGAACGTCCATGGGATATTGTGAGCTATTTGAGTATTTTCAAGTAGTATTACCCAACGGCGAATCATACGTCCTATTATTTTATTATGACAAATTTTCATCGAAAATCGAAAAAATATATTTTAAAGAGGAAATTTTCAATTTTCTATCCATTTTCTATCCATTTCTTAAAAAAACATCATACACCAAATTCATTCGCCTTCTGTGAACGATAAAAAAAACGATTTTTGCTTCAACTTTAAACTCAATGAAAAAATTGCATTTTAATTGACAGGCATTCAAATGAAAGAAAAAGGTCCCTTCTTTCATATTATGTAAACGTTATTTCTATACGATTTTTCATTTATGTATTATAACTTCACAAATTTAGCCAAAACTTTTATTTTTGATGATTTTGAATTTATATCAGTGTAACGTATTTGTAAGAAACAAATGAATTTTATATTCGAAAATATATCTATAAGCTAAAATTTTAAAACTGTAAACTGTTTCTTGAATGACTTCATTACTGCTATTTTAACGAAGGTTAAAATCTGGTACAATATGTTGAAATTTGCGTACTTTCATAGCTCGGAAAAGTGATCCTTTAATATTTTTTAAGTGACATATAATAACATATAATTAATGAATTATATGAAAATGAGGTTTTTGCCTGCTTTATCGTTGACTCATACTACGACTTTGATTTGACAACAGAAACAGTGGCGGCTCGTAACGAGTTCTTAGCACTGACGTAAGTAACAAATCCATTCGCTCTGATTATGCTTTCTACACTTTGTTACTTCTCTCACTTGAAATCTTAAACTTGTATATATATTTATTTTACTTTAAATGCAAAAAGTGTAATTGAAAAATAAGTAATTTGTTCAAAAAAAGCGGCTCCTTCCGCTACATTCTGCTGCCCGCATTGGAACTCATAGAAGTGTGGAAATTGCTCGAACGCAAAACGTGTTCTGCCGGAACCTCGGAAGTGTCGCAAGAGAGAAAACACTCTTTTCGCATAAGAATACTCGAGTCGGATTGATATTCCAAAGTTCACCGGAATACGTGAAATAATCGTGAGCGCTCGAAATGTCACAGAAAGCTGTTTTATTACATTGTTATAATCGCGGTTGCGGAAAGAAATTTGATCCTAATGATAATAAAAACGGTAAGCTCTGTTGCTTTTATAAGCACTTTGATTATTAATTTAAGTAATTAATAATATGCGTGAAAAGGTGTCTATATCTTTTTAATCTTGTTGCAGATGATTGTGTTCATCATCCGGGACAGCCTGTGTTCCACGACGCATACAAAGGCTGGTCCTGTTGCAATAAAAAATGTACAGACTTTACGGAATTCTTAAACATTAAGGGTTGTACAAAGTCTAAGCATTCAAATGAGAAACCACCAGAGCCAGAGAAACAACTCATTGATAAAACTACAGCTGATGAAATAATAGAAGTTGTCTCTAAGCCGATGCATAATAATTCAACATTAGATAGGCCTTCTTTTGATACACCTCAGCTACAGTTATCGCCAACAATATCTCCGATTCTGTTGGAACAAATTAAAGGATTGACTGCTTCAGAGACTAAACCAGTATTATGTGAAGTGCAAATAGGACAAAATTGTAAAAATAATACCTGCAAAGCTACTTATAATGGTGTTGATTCCGATGAGGAAGTTTGCATTTTTCACCCTGGAGTACCGATTTTTCATGAAGGAATGAAATACTGGTCCTGTTGTCAGAAAAAGACAACAGAATTCTCTGTCTTTTTGGAGCAACGTGGTTGCTCTTTAGGAAAACATATGTGGTTTTCTAAGGTATATAATTCACAAATGAACGATTGTATTTTAATTACTGTTATACTTCAATAATTTCAGTGTTTCGATTAAATATATATATATATATATATATATATATATATATATATATGTATGTATATATATTGTAAAAATATATGTTGTTTCAGGACATGGGGAAAAAGGTACAATGTAGGATGGACTGGCATCAAACTGGCACATATGTAGTTGTTTCTGTGTATGCAAAAAAATATCTACCCAGTCAGTCTGTTGTAAAATTGAATCCTATCCATCTAACCGTAGATTTATTCTTTATAGAAGAAAATTCAAGATACAACCTTGACATAGAATTGAGAGGAGTATGTATTGAGTTAATCAAGAATTGATTTTAATAATTACAGATTAATGAAACTATACATAATCTTCCTTTTCAGATTGTTGATGTTGGGAAGAGTAGTGTAAATATGTTGCCAACCAAAGTAGAAATTAAGTTAAGGAAGGCTGAACCTGGCTCATGGTCAATATTGCATATTCCAAGAGAGGAGGAACCAGAAGCCAATGAGAGCAAGGAAAATTTTGCAAACCTTAATGCACAAGTGGAAGCCGTGGACCTTAGTGACCTTTAATTGTTGGAAAAATTTTTTCTGTAATAATTTGATTCTTTCCGGAGTGATTTATTCTTACCTAAGAGATGCACATTGTAATATCAAGAGACTCTATACTAGCCATTTGATGAAGATAATCCTAAATATACCTGGTACAAGTTATTATAATGAAAAAATAAGTATAATTTCTCTATAAATTTATAGAGACAATATGATTTTTCTCGATTAAATTAATTCATTGGATACGATTGTTTTTATTTTGTAAGAGGTAAAATGGGGGAAATGGCAGTCGTATTATTTTGTCAAAAAAAAAATGAAAGGTATATTTGGGTTGAATTGTATACATTGAATTGTATACACGTATAAATGAATCCTATATACATACTTTTTTTTATCAGATCTCTCGACTTCATGTTTACTTAATTTTTTGTCGGTTCCCAAAAAAATAAACATTAATAAATAAATGATAAAATTTCATTATGTATGTATCCATTGTGCTTTTACGAGAAAACGTACATATAATTAAAAAATAAATTCGTTCCTTGAAGGCAAAAAGTGTAGTGTGGTGTAGTTGAGAAGAACATCGCACGTATGGCGTTCTTCAGTATACCCTAACCTCTGTTCTTGATACATTCAGACCACTTATGTTAAAAACAATACAATATGACAGACAACAAATTGCGGGTAAAAATTATAAGATTTAATAACTTAATAGAATATAATATGCAAATGGTTCTCCTTACATAAACGACGTACATATGAACAAAAGCTAACAATATTTGCAGAAAGGGTAATAAAGAAATAGAGAAATGTAGTTTTTGAGACGGTATATTACTGGATATAGATAATCGCATATGCCCAACATTTTTAATTATGTTGGGCAACGTCACAATAAGCAAAAAAATCATTGTCAGGACGTTATTACGACGATATTCAAAAATGTGTTTTAGAATGTTTTTAACGTTGTATTGTATTAATGTTATATTGACATCATTATGAACAACTTTGACATTTCAATATTTCTAAAATATTTGTACAATATTCAGAAGATGATATATTATTCGGTGGTTAATTCTTCAATATTTACAATATAAAATACATTTTATGTTTCAGATACTAGCATTACATGGATACACACAGTCAGATGTGATATTTAGCGCTAAGTTAGGAGCATTAAGAAAAGGGTTTAAAAAAGAAATAGATTTCACCTTCATAAAAGCACCGCATGAAGTTCCGTCAACCAATGGAAATGGTGTATATAAGCTATAAAAAAAGAAATGTTATCCTTAGAATTAAAATATCATACTGTTACTTAAATAGTAACACTAACAATGTTTTTATTCATAATAGGGTATGGATGGTGGTTCAACACAGAGGATCATTATTATAAAGCAACAGTACCTAGTGATTTGTGTGTAGGATTTACTGACAGTGTAAACTTAATAAAAAAGGTATTTTTAGAACAAGGTCCTTTTGATGGTATATTAGGCTTTTCACAAGGTGCTGCTTTTGTCAGTATACTATGCGCTATGAAGAAAAAGCAATGTAAGTTTGTGTAAGCTAAAAGTGATATATTTCCGTAAAAACTTACTGTATGCAATCAACTTATGATTATATTAATCCTTTTGAAGTACTAGAAATTGAGTTCAACTTTGTTATTATTATATCCGGCTTCAAGTCACTATCTGTACCACATTCTATATATTATGATGAAGAGATAGATACACCATCTTTACATATTTATGGAAAGAATGATCAAGTTATTCCCACAGGTAGAGGATTGTAGTTTATTCTTATCAATGAGAGACGATCAATTGAATAATGAGATGCATTGATCCATGTTAAAAATACTGAATTATTATTTTTTACAGAAATGGCAGAACAAATTAGTCGTTCTTTCACAAACAAAGAAGAGTTATACCATGAGGGTGGCCATTATATACCAGGTAGAAAAGATATTTACAGAAATTTTATAATGAAAATGTTAGTAAATAAAAATTCTATAATGAAAATTTTATAATGAAAATGTTAGTAAATAAAAATTCAAGTAGATAATAATAAATTTTACTTGTCT